TTCAATGGAAAGCAGGTATTCACTCTTTTTTTGGCTTAACTGTGAGATGATTACTTTTGCTGGTCACTCATCTGACGAACAAAGGATACAAAAAAGACAACACAGTTCTACATGTCTTAATTTGACCACTTAATCAAAATCTCGTTTCGATTCGTTCTGCGTCGGCATTTACTCCTTGACCCTTCCTGCTTTCAACTTCTATCTTAACTCCTACTTCCTTTCCTATGGCAGCTCAATAGATCGTTTCAACAAAACTCAGTCCTTGGTCTGCTGCAATCGACAAACCTTTAGTTTAGCTTTGTGAGAAGACATTTGTAGGCACCATTACTCAAATGTGAGTAAATTCAGACGCTGTACAAGCCCAGAGTAGAACATATTCAAATAAGCATTGAGATTATACAAAGGCTGAACAATAAGCCTACTTCAACACTAAGTACGAAAACTTATTAATAATAATGACACAATTGGAAACCTTCATGGTAAATGTCGACCAAAAATCAAAACTTGAAAATGCCTTCATACATAAATGAACAATGCATACGAAGTAAAAAACGATTAATCGTGAGAGGGTTTTGATTTGACCATGAGACGACCAATCAGACTAAAGCAACATTCACGTGATGTCCCTAGGCCTTTTCTTTTGCCTTTAACAGAGAATCAATGGAGGAGACTAGAAAGTAGGATGATTAATGCTCAAGTTGTTTGACCACTTATGTCAAACGGTGTCATGAACACACCAAAATAATTGACGTCATTGTGGAGACACACGATTGTGACACATGATGTATGTTGCGTGAGACAAAGAACCGAGACATGAAGAGATCGAACGCGGTGCCTGTTGTGCAGAATAAAGTAGAACATACCAAAATACATTTTTTGTTAATAACCTCTGAGGAATGCGATCAGATAAAATTGGGAACAGATGAAAAAAGGTAAAACAGAAGTACATGATGATATGCAATTCCTTACCAGGAGCAAATGTGAGGATTTATTTTCGAGCCAGTTGTCGCTATACTAGTCTTATATTTTAAAATCTATCCTACAACAAATTTCCTTTATCTCAGAGTAAGCCGGGGAATAAATTATTAGTATTATGATTTCAACAAACTCAATGAAAGAATTTTCAACACCGCATTTCTAATCAGGAGCGTTGTTGACAAATACTAGTCATCTCTACGATAAAACGGGTGTCGGAGACATGACTCCTACCCGTCATAAAAGTGCAGGCTCCAGGGAATCTATCAAACAAACTTCCCATATAATTATACTAATAATGCCATGGATGTCTTTCAGAGATCTCACCGTGTTAAAATAAAAAGAATTGAATGCGAGGTTTCTAGTGAAAATGAATAAACTAGAAATGACACCCAAACCTTCTATTCTTAAATAGCTCAATAAATCCAAGGTTTGAGTCAAAGTATGGTGGAAGAAACTAGTCTACGGACATGAAATCCATCTATTTCACTGCTGTCTCGTCCTTATGGATGGGTACATTACGGCAATCGATATCAATTAATCTTGCAACCTCTCGGAAAAATTCATTTTAATTCTAAATTCTCTCTAAAATCGACTTTCTTCTCATAAGCCGCCAGTCTAATAGTTCCTAGATGACGCAATGGTCATCTCACTCAACTAAAGGCAATAAACCTATATGATATGCAAATAAGAATAGGTCCAACACGTTTGTTATTCGAAAACCCATTGACGCGTTCATGATGAACGGATTGAAATTCAAAAGAAAAAATGTGCCAAAGAGAAAGTTGAAGAGATAATGGGCGTCACCTTCCTATTCAGAGCAAACTGAGGCGGAATTGTGTATTTTTATTCAACTGATTACGCCCATTTCCCCCCAACATGAGCAACACAGGCACAAATTAGCAGGCAACACATATGGAACACATGTTTCAACCTATCCATTTATCATTAGCCACGCCCTGGTTAATCCCATGAGCTATCCCATAATAGGGGTTCATTATGAATGTCGACAGTGTGCAGAGAGACTGTAAGAAGACCATTGTATTCACCGTCCAACAATAAACCTTGAATAAAACCACATGCCGACTCATACACCCCTCGTCCTCAATTTTCAAATACTTTGGGGTTTTAAGGAATAAAATTTTCCACACTATGGACTGAAGTCGATGTAGTACATAACTCGTTTACTGTAAAGGCACTTTCTGTTGAATTCACTTAGCACTTCCTAATAGTGTCGATGTTACAGTGAAAAACGGACGGGTCACTCAGCTTAGAAGCCACGAGATTGGCACCAATCAGTGCATATCCAATGACGTGAATTACAATGGAAGTAACTTTGGTTAAAGGGGGGTGATAGGTTAAAAATGACTCATATACACGACTTCGCCTAATGTAGTGTTACTGCCCTCCAACAATTAACTTCCAAATATCCAGGATACACTGCCAATTATTTGCTACTGTTTAAGGGGTGCCCCACTTAAAAAATGACCAACCTACCTTGTAAAATTTCAACCTATCGACACAGAAAAAAACACCGAAACGGGTTATTTCGGATCTTGAGCAATTATAAAAAACGTTACCATAAATCAGTCAAATCTTCTATAAATAACTCACCCTAGCAAATTTTTGAGGAGTATTTCCATAAGATTTCGACACATGTTGACAACATAGATCACTCGTGGGCGGAGGTGAACCTAATTGGCCGATGTGAGACTTCATTCGGTTGTTGACATTTGTGTTAGTGCTATTCGACGCCGAAGCAAGAAGGCTGGAGTTCTGTCGCGCTGCAGATGAAAAACAAATGGAATCAGCTTTGCGGCGATTGTAGAGCTGTCTAGACTGCTGTTGTTGCTGCTGACGAAATGTAGTTTCGAAACGCGAGGTTAGGTGTTGGTGATGGTCACCTGGAAGATAAGCTGTGTTCGTCATATACTACTTAACTCGTTTAAGCGTTCTTGTCCTTTTTCTCAATTTCTTCGATTCTCTTCTCACCTGAAGAGTACCTAGACATGTCTTACCCAACAACATACACTACTCAAATACCCTAAACACCAATATTCTTTCCTATTCCCGTGACACCTCTTGGAGGTTAAGTGGACATTGTTATACTTCTCCAGAATTTTTATTTATTTTATTGCTTATCCTAGTCACATATTCGAAATATGTATTACATATCCTAACGGATGATTTATTTACCACAAGATAAATTTCGCTCGTTCAAAAATTGATATATCATTCTATCTAATAGAAACCAAAAAAAGTAATTTAAAAGTTAAATCCTCTTCTTAGTAGGGGAAACCTTCATTTCATAGTTGTTTGAGTGCCTATGGAAAAAGTATAGACCGACGTGAGCGCGTCAGTTCATTTAAACAAATACACATTACATTTTTCCAACCAAGGAAAATAAAGTGGAGTAGATTAGGGGAAGGAGAAATGGAGAAATGTCAAAAAGACATATTACTTTTAGAGTGAATCATATATTATTTTCTTAATTACCAAGGTATGGGAAAAGGACAGCTGTTCAATTATAAGGAATCTTCTTTCCCTTCAAGACAGATGTGACATTCCTTTATGGAAAGTAAACTATGTGCATCTACAATTTTGACGTAAAATTATTTGCAAAAAATGCAAAGATTTGCCGTCGAAATAGGAAGTCTTCTTCCACGAAATACAAGAAATTCACGTGTGAAATAGTTAACTAGGAAAAAGTCAATCAAATCTTGTCATAAAGGCCCCGAAACTTGATTAAACTGAAGTTTATAATAAACGAAAGCTAGTAGTAAATTTGATTAAGACATTTCCAATCCAATTCAGTTCGCTGCTTGTTAACTTGATATTTCTTAAGCCTATCACTTCATTGGACAAACCAAACTGTCCAATGATATAATTGGTAACTGGGGCTCGGCCAATTAGCAAACTGAGCATTAGGAAGGTAAGGAGCCGATATCTTTACTGTATCAAACAATATTTACTAAAACCAAGAACGAAAACAAAATAATGGAAGTGTAATCATAAGCGTATGCCATACGATAAGGAGGAAAAACATCACTATAGAAAACGCACTGCTAAGGCATTCAAAACTTATCAAAAAAGTGACAATCATCTCTAAGTTTTTTTTCCGCTTCTAATTTGTCCAGATTTCTTTTCCGCAACCCCCCACCCCCAACCAACCCCAAACCATAGATGATACCTCCTATGAGAGTTTAGTCTTTGTATAAACTTGATAAGCGCCCCTTGGATAAGCAGGTGTACATTCGCAGGCATAATCTTTGTACCCCGAGAGTGCATAATAAGATTTAGCTCAACCCAAGGAGGAAACTTTGAATTTTCAATTAAAGGATGAGAAAAATGTAGTGGCAGAGGTGGATTCTAGGGCACCTGATACAGCAGTCTGATCAGTAGCAGTGGGGTGGGAAAGATTTATGTTACCATAAAAAGAACCATTCCATACACTATGTTTACAATCAACATAAATGCGGCATAAACAACGCTTACATTTACTCGCTAAATTGATAGAAAGTGGGAGGTAGATGGCAATCTAATAAAAAACGCCATTTTAAGAATTCCAGAATTTGATTTTTCAAATCGCAAGGAAAAAAGTGTTCGGAAAACAACCGCCAATTGCAATTATGGGGATAGGGTAAGCATATAAGCACACCCATGATAAACCCCAAAATCTGTCATACGAAACTCAGGATCACACATACTATATAACGGAATCCCGAGATGTTTAGAACTTGAGGCAAATGCTTATTTCCAATTACAAATAAAACAACATTTTTTCTGTTTACAAGGACTAAATGATGTTTAATTTGTTCCACGCTTTGAAGCAGAATGAAAGCATAAAAGAAAATCTTGTTCAACTATGCAAATCTCTCAAAAAATTCAAGCCCCTGCCTTGAAGTTCATCTAGGCCTCCCCTTCCACCATTGTTTAGGCTAAAACGAGAAAAAAGACAGTCCATTCATTAATCAAATGCTTAACCTTCAGATTGCACGTTTTTCAAGTAAGTTCGCCGAACGGTGAACATATATACCAGGATTGAATAATATGTACAAGCTGCGTTCAAACACAAGCAAATAGAGATTCCGATAAATCTAACATTTGTACAAATAAAATTAACCAAACGAATTACCTACTACAAATCCCAAATTGCTCACAAGTAAACCAACTTTCCACAAACAGCAGTAAAAATTATGAAAGCCCGTTGTCTCGGCATCTTCATCTGGAAACATAAGGAATAAGAATACGATCGGAGATTGAAAGAATCATCCCATTTTGAGAATTTCTCAATCATAGATGATAGACAGGCATGAACTTTAAACTATGATGCATTACTTTAAGTGAGTAAGCATAAACTATTGAAAATGTAAGGTGCCATCATTTACCAACAAAGAGGGTGGGGGGGGGGAGGAGAGGGCACCGCAATTGGATAAATTTGAGCGTCCACTTTTTCCGAACTGGAAAAGGACATAGGAAAGTGCAAATGAAAAGAAAACTAGCGTTAGCTACAACCTTCACACACTCATCTCCTTGGAAGTTAGGCTCCAGCCTATTACGCTCCCCGGCATTTCGGGAAACTAGGTTTCGTTGAGACAAAGGGAGCCCAAACCGAGCAAAAGGTTATGTGAAGCTTTTTTTCAAGACCTCCACTCTCTCCCTGCAACCTCTAATTTACCTTCATCCCCTCGATGGTAGAAAGCGGACTTATAGATAAGTACTATATGACTAGATTGTAACTTAGAGATGACGTTTGAATGGATTAGATGCAGATAAAACCTACCAGGATGAAAATGCATTTGGGAGGTTTCCGTAGAGGGACTGCAATCGGCAGTGGAGGACCAAGAGGGCGTAAGCCAGAGGAAAGAGCGCAAATCATTAGGGGGTTGAAGAAGTTGAGGTGCCTTGGAAGCTTCATTCGCTGCCTGAGCAGCAGCTGCCGCAATCACAGCAGCCTGCTTGATTAAATTCGTATCGAAAGGAGGAAATTCGAAGGTCTGTTGCGGGTTTGACGCCACCGAGGTGGGAATTTGGAAATGTGAGTGCGGTGGAAAGGAATCCATAGCTGGGCTGAAATTTCCACTGTTGAGAACCGGCGGGAAAGCGTTGCCAGCACCACAACATTCATTCATTCCATTTACAGCACAACCTCCTGTAGATGCTGAAGATGATGAAACGGAAGAAGTTGTGTTTGTTGCATTGTTGTTGTTGTTGGAATTGGGGAGCCAATTCGGCATCAAGTAGAGGTCGCCTCCATCGATTCCGGAATCAACACTCAGCATGGCCTGAAATAAAATGAGTAATCAAATTACCCGAGTTTCCAAACATCTAATGCAATATTTGATTGTGGCTTCTCCTCTCTCTTTTTGCTTTAGAGCTGAAATTGTTGTTTGTTTTTCATTCTTCGTGTTCCTTTAGGGTTGAATTGTCCCAAGAACAAGTATACATTTCTAAAGGCCATCTATTATCAGGATAAATTCGATACATGAAGCATATAAAATCACTTATGAGAGATCGAGCAAAACTTAGTGAAATTATAATCCATAATGTTAGCTGTGAAAAATTTGAACTTTGGAAGGTAAATTTATCCTCCTCGTACAGACTGCACTTGGAAATTGAAATAACAAATGACAAATTTAAACTAACAAAGAAGAGCAATGTAGAGTGACAGCGGAAATCAATAAGCTGTACTTTACAACTAACATTACGACATAAAACCCCATCTCGTTCATGCAGAATAGCATAAACCCATAGACGGTGCCCCGATGACGTATATTTACCTTCACGGAAAAGATACTCACAATGGCACTAGCCTAGGAAACTCACCCCCCCCCCTAATCCAATTATTTCACAATATTCAGTTTCCAAAAATAACCAACAAATAAGACCAAATTCCAATTTCGGACAAATGAACATTACATGCAATGTGACTTTTAATTAACACTTATTCACAAAGTAGCACACGTTTATAATTGGAATTGAAGGAATAATTACGTGACTACGGGGAGAGAGAGAAAGAGGAGTGAATTCAATTTCTTACTAATGGAAAGATGCCCTCGAAAGTCGGCTTAGACAATTAGTTGCGGAGAAAGTTATGAATCGAGTGGGGGGGGGGGGGCAATTGTGCAAAGGGCTATTTAATTTGAAAATAAATTAATGAGCAATTGTGTGCATGTGAGTGAACTAGACTGAACATATGTAAACAAATCTTGAATTCGATAAAGAACGATTCCTTCGTGTGTACAATAGCTTTTCGGAACAAAAAGATTAATTTCAAAGATTCCACTTAATCTACTTTGTTCAAAAATTAGGCTCAAGGTTGAAACTTTTAAAAGGTGGGGAATTCCGCAAACTTCCGAGGAAGGACACCTGACAACGTGGATTCTAGTTCTAATGGTGTTCATTCAACTAGTGGAAGGAACAGTGAGCACAGACAAAGACGGAAAAATGGACAAACGCTATGGTGTAATTCATATTTCTGGCACATCTTCATGTTGTGTGCGTTCTTTTCACATTTCTATTTATAATAATCACATTAATAACTTGTGGCTTTCTTCACCATCACCAGAACTACCGGGAAATCCCATTCTGTATTGACGGCTAACATGATTAATGATGAAAATGCTCAGTTCATGAGGATTAATTATGAAAACTGATCTTATTTAATCAGGGTTCTCCATCAAACAACGACGGAAACGAATACCGACCAGGACCTCGTCGACGAAGCCGAGAAAGTCGAATTTTAGTAGAACAGAGGGGCATATCAAAGATGCAATTTAGTAAAACAAATAAAACCAAGACCACATAGCAGCCCTACTGGTTTATTCCGTATAATTTTATTCATAAGTCCTTTAAACAATTTTATGCAGCACATTACAGATATTCCGTTCGATAATTACGGTAAACGAATGAATCAATTGCATGCCTTTTGTTCTCGAAACGCGTTCAAAAGCAGCGCACCTTCCCTCCTTCTCCCAGCGTAAAAAAGGATTGAAAAGTTTATCTTGGCCTTTAGATGGACAAAGGGAAAGCTATATTTCGTGTAGGGGTTTTAAAGGAAATGAATTTTCAGTCAAATCTCCACTTTCAATGACGGAAGAACAAAAGCGAAAATACCCAAAAAGTTGAATACAAAAAGCGGAATCAAATCCGCACCAGCAGTTCATTCAAGCAAAATTCGATATGAAGGAGAAACCGGATGTACTTACCATTTCAGAAGGCAGTGCTTTCCAGTGTGTCTCCCATCTACAATGAAAAAGAATAAAAAGATGGAAGTCAACTCGTTGCAAATTAATGAATTTAAATTCTGCGCGATCTAAAAATTGTAGTTAATTACAACCACGCACAATTAAGAAGGAAAAGTCCGACCTTGAGCTTGAATGGAAGCTTATGAGTAATGCTCACCTTTTCCCCTTCAAAATTTATTGGTTGAAAAATCGCTAGGTGAATAATTGGATTAAATGAAGAATTTTATAAATCAGTTAATATCTTTCGGCCCCTGCTATATTAGATCCTCTTATCTTGAAAATTCAGTTAAATTTTCTTGGACTGCTGGGAAAGAACCTGAAATTCATATTTCGAAATACATATCACAGACCACAAGTCTAAAGTGATATTCAAGATTTGCATTTAACAGTGATTGATAAAGCCATTTTCGACCTCTTTACATGCCTTCTTTGGTTAAAAAGTGTTAAAACTACATTCTAAGGGGGAAATCAAGCACATTTTATCACCTATCTTGTTGGAGTGAACTAGTCTCAATTCAAATCCGTTGAAATGAGCAAATTATACTGACAAATATCCCATTAGAAAGAAGTGATCAAGAACGAATAACCAACTAAATGTCTATTTTAATAAAAACACACTAATTTAATTCAGAATTAGTTTTCTTTTATATGGCCTTGTGATCTATAGCCTGAACATCCGCTCGTCAAAGAAAAAAATAAAGGGGAAAAATAGGGCGAAAAGGAATGTTTAAAAGATTAATTGATTAGCTTTTTCCAATTAGAACTATTTAGGATATTCTAAAAGCAATCACGCGTGCGCAGAAGCGACACTGCCGGTGAAAACGAGATGATTGATAGAATACAGATAAACATGTGTCAAAACAATAGCAAGAACCCCTGCTGAGCCATCCAGTCAACTGCACCAAAAACACCCTATTATTTAATTGATTTATCACTGAAGTCTCAAGTCAACAAAAACAAAAGACAACGATATAATTACTACCAACGTGATGTGACTAGGATGTAAAACTGCACAGGCTTCAGTGACAAAAGATGCGGTTTATAAGTAAGAAGTAAATTGAAATCAATATTCTAAATAATAAAATTAGCTTTATTCCAATAAATATTGCTCAGATTTCCAACATTTTGCAATATTTGGAGGTAGTTATAATGCAGGGACTATAATGAACGTAGTGCACTTTGCTACAATTAGCCAATGAGATATCTACAAGGTCATTTTAGAGACAGATTACGACTTTTTAACATTTTTCGTCTAGGGTACTAAAACACCGCTGCTCACCCAGAGGGTTAAGAACGCATAAAAGCGGACAGTAGGCAGAGGACAATAAAAATAGTCACGCCCCACTCTGGTAGTGTGTTTCATTTCTTTTGAGTGCGCTGCACAGGTGCCTCCCTCTCTATGGAGATCAAAAGAACAGCTTAAATGGGATGGTGGAGTCGAGATTGCAACGTCGTATGACTACTACTTCAGCCCCTCTCCTGGGCATAAGGAGGATATAACCCTATTGTGAAAATGAAAAGCATAAATCAACAGACGGCTGCAACCACACTCGCACGTTCTAGTAAAGGGGAGTGGGAAGTGCAAGCAGAGCGTCGCGAGCATTAGAAAATGCATTTGCATAGGAGCTCCGAGACCTCCTTCTCCAAAGGCGCAGGGCCTGATATGTCTCACGCACGCACACACACATACGGGTGGAGTGGAATGAGGAGCAATTGTATGAACTTTGCGACCCACCGAACTGCAGGAAGGTATAGTACAGCTCGCTCCATTTGCTTTCCTCTCCCCCCTAGAGCGGTAGCATCAAATCTACCCTGAGAGAAAAATCCACTTATTTGAGTCTTTTTCCCCCAAATTTGATGAGAGTCTGACAGACAAAACGCCAAATCTAACTGCCTTAAGTCCATAAGTTAAAACAGAATGGTGCTGAAAACCAGTATGGTCGCACTATGTGTCGGTAGTGCAGCGATCAGGTGACCAATTCACCCCGGTGTACATCCTGTAGTGTGGGTGAAAGGTGATAGAATGTTTTCCCTAACAGCGGCACCCTCTAACCATCGCAAGCGCTGGGAGCACTTCTATTTATGCGAATGGGGTAATTATGATAGAGGATTCCTCTGTAAACAATTAGACCAAATCATAACTAAGGGGATTTTCCCAGTCCGCTTTCATTGCAACCTTTTCGAGTTTCCAGGTTCCAAAAGGAGAAGCAGAAAGGCTAACGTAATCCATCAACGGTTTCTCTCATTTGATTGGTTAATCTAAATCGATTGCCATAGCAAAATACTTCAAACCCCTTATGCGAAATGAATGGCTACCGATTACATGCGAATGTTTGCAGGGAAGAAAGTAATGATATTACTGTCGATGGCATTTGTATTCCATAGGCGTAGAGATTAACAAAATCTTCCAAATCCAAATTTCAGATGAATTTAGTTTTACGAATGAGAGGAGTGATTAAAATGTCAGATATCAGTAAAGCGTCCTCAATGTTGCGTTAATTTCAATCTACGTCTCTCCCTCAAGAACTCATGAATCAATTAAGAAATAAAATCCTCCGACCCACACCATAAAACTATAGCATTATAGACTATTCTATATTCCAGCATTATCAATAAAATAATTATTATTGGATGTCTACCAAACCGTCATTTCGACATGGCAGGGGAATAAACATAAATTAAAACACAGACAAGGGATTTGGACTAGCCTCGATATCTTTCTGGCACGAGATCCTAAAATGCCAAGGATCGAAGCGCCTAATAAGTGGTGATTTGTCATATTGTTAGTGTGCATTTGAAATAAAACCCATGATAAAGAATAGCTGGCAAACCGGCTGTCTAGAAACTAGCATTTAAGGTGCACGTGATTACAGGATGATAGGTTATTCCAATTTGAAGGCCACCAAAAAACATCAACTTACAAAGACGAAGTTTCATCTGTATCGGAAAATGTTTGCGAAACACTGCGCTGTTTGCGTTGTGTGCTGGGAAGACCATCTGCTAAACCAATTGATTTGAGAATGCCGCTAGTTGTAGTAGATGGTTGTTGTTGTTGTTGCTGCTGCTGCTGGTGGTTGAGTCTGGGAAGACCGGGGGGACATGGCATAGATTTCTGTTGTAGAGCCACCGGGCTATTGGTTGAGGAGTAGCTTAGGCTACTGGGGGGACCTTGAGTTTTTGCGAAAGGGGACCAAGACGACAGCATCTAAAATAAGGGGACGGGTAGAGAATACATAAATGCGATTATTTAAACACAGAAAATGCCGATTTCCCTCCCTACTTTCTCTCTCTCTCTCTCTCTCGCTTTGGTAATTGGCCATTAGGGGTTAGTTGGATTGGATTCTGTCCATCCAAAAAATAGGTTTTGTGGAAAAGAGGAAGTGTGGAAAGAGGGAAAGAAGAAGGTAAACAGCAAATAAACTAATTAGAAATCGAAACTCGAGCTGTCAACTTTTTTCGACTCCCCCATCTCCTTCCAAGTCCCCAAGCCAAATGCTACAAATTAGCTAAAATTTTACCAGGACACCAACACTGGGGCTTTTCAAATCCTCTCCAGTTTGTCAAATTATAAAAAATTACATTGTGACATTAAATTACAAAAAAACGGGAGCTTATTTCTTTGCAGAATGAGCTTCCATTTTGGGAAGGTAATTTCTCAGTTTAGGACAGAATACCTTAGCCAAGGAATAGAATTTTGCGGGAAATTTTGAAATGAAATTTTGTGCTTAGACGCCCAACTAGCCAAGGCGAAACAGATTTATTGATAAGAATAAAGTAGAGGTGAATACAGAACCATGAACCTCCAAGGTCTGTACATTTTAATGAAACTTGAAAAAATAAAAATCTATTTTGTAAGAGCAAACTTAGATGACAAGAAACAACGGTATCTAACTCATTAGCAAGCAGAAAGCGTGAAATTATCACTTTTGTTAAAATTAATGATAAGCATTATTTATTAAAATAATTTCATCTCAAGAACAGGCGCAACTATTTACAAATTGAATGGACATACGAATTGCCTTTCACAGAAAAAAAGAAGATTCGAGATTGAAAAATGTAAAAGCAACAAAAGTAGAATTTGCACTTTTCTACTTGCATATCTGTGTTATGATTGCGCAGCGTATCTTCCTGGGAGAAATTGCAGTGATAACGATATCTATCCAATTAGAAGACTACTAATTAGGCGCATTGGAAGCGTGCTCTCACAGAGAGGGAATTTAATCAAACTTTATTAGGTAAACAAACAGAAGCAATTAAACCATTAACGAAAAAAATAACTCTTATTTATGCTATATATACCTGCCAATCTCAATTTATATAAACGAATCACGCTCCGCTAGAAATGACGTTAGAGAATAGGGTGCTAGTAACCACAGCGTCTCGCAAATGTATGCTGTTCTAAACACACAATTTCTGCTTATCAAATGAGTTTAATCTAGTTTGTGTGATAAGGGATTACAAAAAATACACATGAAGGCTAATTTTCATTGTGATAAACTGAAATCTAGCATTATTTAAGTAACTGGACATTCGTTAAAGCACAGACCCCCTAATCACCCTCGGCCAATTCAAATTCAAGTAGAGTTAAACCTAAAGTGAGTTCCACGACGCTAAGGTCGTCATCCTGGAGATCGGAAGAGCAAAAAATGCACTGAAGTGTTAGAACCTACCAACCCAGTAGTCCACTAAGTTCATAAGCAATAAATTTCGCGAAGAGGAAGTTGTTCATCAATTCAGGACATGAATCATGAAAGTTGAATTTTAGAAAGTGAAGCAATTCAAGTTTTTTTCATAGACCTGCACTTTCTGTAAATTTACACGATCTTCAACAGGAACTGACCATCACCTGATCCCAGTCCTCTCCACCTCTTCAACGATGAAAGTTAATGAAAGTAAATGATATATTCAACAGTCTAGATGGTAAACATTTAATCTCCTGAACAGAACTCTTAATATTTCATCTTTTCCCTCAATAAATGCAAATTATTGAAAAGTTTACCTCTACGTCTGACAGGTTTCTTTGTTATAAACGGGCTGACCGATTTTCATTTAATCCAAGTAAGAAATTGAGAGGAAAAGTAAGGAGGTGTGTACGCAACACTACAAATGGGAGAAGGAAGGCGCGTTTAGGAACTGTTCCTATGGCCTTTCACATAAACAAACAGCACAGTTAGGCATCAATATCAATAAGTGCGCATCGACGAGTATTGATACTGTACTCTCAAATTTGCCTTAATGTGCTCAGAAGAACGAACGTTTATTGACCTCTAAAGATGATAAAGTTCGCCAGCACCTCCTCACTATCCTTTCACCGAATCACAAAACATAAAACCAAAGAAGTCATTTGAAGCTAACAAATTACATACAGACACAGAAATGGGTGCTTAAAGAGGAACTGTTCAAACAGACTGTGAAGAGCTACAAAACCCCGCTGAGAGTGAAATACGACAACCCATCATAAATGCACATACTTCCTCCTCCCAACAGTTTCCGTGTGCGCATACGCAACCCAAAAGTCTAGGCTCCCTCCCTCCCTCCTCTTCCACCAGCAGACACACACGTAGGACATAAAAGCCTTTTCCTCTCTCTTAGGGAGAGAGCTTTAAATTTTTATTTGGAATGCGTCTTTTGCACATTCAAAATCTTACCCTTGTGTATCAGAGCTCAGCAGATAAGAAGCCGACTTAACGCCTCATTGAATTAAATGGGACTACCGCATTTATCTTCAGTTTTTTGCCTGTACAATATCTAGGGCGCGTTAATTACACTATTTCTTTTGTCTATACGCATCTATGAGAATGGATTCGAACATACAGCTGCTATCTTTCGTTAAGTTATGGACGAAATTTGCATGATTTTCTACATTCATTCACAAAATCATCATGTATGATGAAAACTTTCCTTTCTAGCAGAAGTTCAACAGGTTTGCGAAAGTGGTAATGACTCAAATGTAACTGAATACCAATCTTTGCTCAAGAACATCAACATCTAGTTCAACCCACGGAAAAAAAGCCTTTATTGAACAGAATATACTCAAATATCACGAGTCGGAAGTTCTTTAGGCATACCGAATCGTATTCCATAAGAATGAACATAGTGACCCATATCCACATTGACCTAACTATTAGTCTTCCCCAAAATCATTGTTTTCGAAAAGGGACATCACTGGAGCGAACTTGGATGGGATTCTAAGTAATTCTACTGACTGAATTTAGTGCAGACTATAACTGAATTAAATAGAATATAGATGAATTTTGTGCTAAAAATGGAAACACTGAAACTTCATCAATTTACTTCAAACCATCTTGATCTAGCAATTCGAAAATAATCATTTTGAAAGCAGAAATGTGAGACTTTAGAAGGACTTTGCGACCTTCGCAAATTTATTCCTAATTGCGCGTTAAAACCAAGGAGACAAAGACTAATAGTAAGTGGACGGAATCGTTTGCAACTTACTAATTAGCTACATTTCCAAAGTAGGAATTTTTCGCGAAACTTTTCGTTGGTGTGACTCATCTAAAATGAGTACAAGTTCTGTTCACGTATTGAGAATAGGTAAAAAGCCTATTCTGTTTTTGACATTTTGACATTGATTCTATGTGAGGAGAACTGGGAAAAAATGTTCCATCGCATGCCCATGAAGACCCAAAGGCATTGCCCATAAGCAGGATGTAAATTCTGTTAGATTCGAGAGAGAGAGGGAGGGAGAGAGCACTACGAAGCCTTACGGCATTTCTCTTCCAATAGTCTTCCCCAGAGTTGACCTTCAACTTTTAGTTCTGAAGTTCACATAGAGGGAAATATTTTATGATTCCGGTGAAATGTTTTGAATTTGGGGAAAAACTATTGCATGAAAACACACATCCGGCAGCGAAAAACAGGAGAAGAGTGGTTGGGCATGACCGACTCTTTTTCTCTCTACACGCATGTCTCCGAAGCGAACATTTTAAACTAAGAGCACTCGGGCAGTGGTTATGAGTACTCACGCATAAGACGCTCTTCATCAACCGAGTTGAAGGTTCTCAATCATCCGAAAATTTCTTTCTTTTGTACAAATAAACAATCACATGACTAAAGACTCCATTTATCCCATTAAGTAAGTTAGTTCTCAAGGTTTATAACCTGATGTTTCTACGAGGAAATAGTTAAACTTGACTGAGAGAAATAAAAGATCGGTGAATTCTATTTACAAATGAAAGTGAGCGGTACTCTGACCTCGTTTTCTCACTTCAGGAGATAATACTGCTGAGATGTCCTTTCATGCCCACTTTTTTTCTCTGCGACCACCATTCGTAATATTTAACCATTTCTATTGTGCCCAAGTGCGAAGGTAGTTCTCAGTTAAATTCTACCAGATGTTGCCTTACAACTCGCAAGAAAAAAATATAATTCTGACATTTAGCAAAGTTATACTAGGAAAAACGATGTCTTAGATGATTGCTCATGAGAGGGAATTCCAATTCTGATTTTATAGAAATGAAAAATAGAGTAATCACTAAATTTACCAAATAAGTACGATGGGAAAAATGCATCAACCCCAAAGATCCCAGGTATCATTGCTACAAAGAATGGAATATTCGAAACTATGCAAGCAATGCGTCGCCTGTTTCACTAACACTATGTTCTCCGTTTTAGGGTCAAGTGAAATCAGCTGTGGGGTGCGCGATAGACGTGGTACATCCTGATTAATGTATACTCATACGGCAAAAAATGTCCATAAACCGGCAGTTGACTCCAAACTACTATGACCCCACTGTATGCCGTTTTCGACCACTTCCACAGCACTCATCTTACCTTACCTTTTCTCCACCTTTGTGTCTGTCTCTTTTACATCTATGAATCGCTCTTTTGTTCCCCCTCTCGACTTTGATGTTCTTCTCCTCTGTGAATTCCGAAGTTAACTAAGGGGCTAATGGTAACCATCGTAAAGCCTGCCATTTGATAAAAAATAAGTTTGCTGGTAAGAGTTACCTCAGTGCCAGACATTTACACTCATTGCACTTCAAACAATCCAGCACTACTTAGCAGAGAGAAATAGCCCATAAACCACCATCCCGGAGACAAGATTTAATTTTGCAATAACTCTGAGTTCGAACAGCGTTAATGCGCGTCGTTGCGTCTCCTACTTTTCAATTATGGTATGCAAACAAATTAAATTAATAACACAACGACTCGAATAGTCCTTCTTTGTTCTATCCCCTGGGGAGGGGATCTACACCAATGAATAATCACCTAAAGTTGCTAACAGGCTTTGCTCTTTTAATTCACTTTAGGAGGGATATAAATTTAGTAGGTAAAAAGTGCTGAGTGAGCGATGATAAGAGAGGAAAGGAAGTTAGGCATTTTGCTCTCATTCTCCAGGCCAGTAACGCCATGTGAAACACACAAAAATAGACCCCTTCGTCCTCTCAATGCAACTCACCCTCTATTTTGTGGTTCTGTCAAAATGACAGTGGAGACTGTCAAGGTAACCATATGGCAATGACAACATGACAACAACTATTGGTCAACATGTTATATTAATTTGTTCAGCAAAATAAAGTAAAATAAGAGAAACGTTTAAACCGGAATCAAGGAGAGGTAAGCAATTTATTGTTCGAGAGAGATTGATTTCCAAACAATGCATCGACACACAACTTTTGTTAAAGAAGAAATATTAGGAATCAAACTTTCCAAAAGTGGAGAGAAGTAAGTTTCACAATTTATGGAGGGTAAATGCCTATTGATTGTGTTTTAATAGTCCAACGACAAGAAAACCTCAAGGTCATGCTCAGCTAATTAGATTACTGTTCCACTGGCTACCGTAATCACCAACGTTTCTCTAGAGAAAAACAAATATTCTGTAACGAGTTTCTCAAACAAAGTTAGAGAATTTTTCTTGCAACATTCTGTAAAAGTGAAATTTCGAAAGTAGAAGCATCAGAAAGCCGAAGGGCTAAAAGAAGGAAAAGATATGCAAATAAGATTGATACCCCGAATTATACACAACATCCATTCTCCAACAATGGGATTGACAAGAACAAAAGCCTCAAGACATATAAAAGATTGACAGTTTGTGAGAAGCCCCAAGTAGGACCAAACTTACCGAATTTGGAAAATTCGTTGTGGGTATAGCGGATCCAATATCGTGAACAGGGATCTCGGAACGGTTCACGGGAATGGGAAGGGAGGTGGTCTGTGAATTATGATGAAGCAGGGCATTGAAACGATCAAGGGAGGAGCTAATTAATCCCAGAATATCTTCCTCATCACCACTCTCTGTAGAATCGGGAGTCGTAGCCGAAGATTTGGAACATTTTCTAGCTCCATTCTCCTCTGCTAGGGGTTTTGAAGTCCCATTTTCCGAAGTGGGCCACATTTGGGATCCCTCCTGGCCTTGAATTGAGGAGGGTAATTTGGTTGGGACTTCAGCAAAGCAGGAGAATTCCGACTAAATGCAAGGAAACAACACCAATAGCTTAAAAATTAGAAAGGGCTGTACTTTTAGGATGCGATGTCTTACAGGTGGGATAAAAATATGTATCTTACGTCCAAATAGTGGCCGTATTTAGATCCGATGTACTATTATCGCAATGAATGGGAGGATGCAGGGCATCATCACCACCTTTGCGTGGTTACGCAATCAGAGTTAAAGTGAAAAGTGCCTCAATGTGGAAAAGGGAGCACAAAACTTGTTTACATCGCTAGTGACTGCGTTAGTTAAGCCAATTATTGGCCTAATTAACGGACACGCGCCGCTGGTTGGCTGGACACAAGGTCACACAAACCAGATGCCACGGCGATTATGTTGGGTGATGTGCATGCACTTTAACGCGTTTACGTATCCCGGTTATAGTTGCGACATTTCCCTGAAAGAAATTTGTTGGAATTTTTAAAAAAATAATTAAGCCAAACTCTAATCATCTGACCTGATCTGCTTACTCAGGCCCCCCCCCCCCTCGCCAGATATAACGGGGATGACAGTCACGTCGAGACTTAAAATGATAATAAATTTGATCATCCTGCAAGCCGGCAAACGTGCACTTGTCCTGAAACTAGAGCATCGTCTAATATGCGTTGAGCCTCCACATTAATGGAGTCAGTCTAGGTAAATCGAATCTGAAAAACTCATTTAAGCGCTAATTCTCAAATTAACAATTTAATAAAATTAGATACTTTATTTTGGATTAGTTGGTTCATAACAGCTGTTAGAAGAATGAAGATTTAATTTAACACAATTTTCATTGAACTCAAGGTCGTATCAAAGACATGCTTTGGATAATGGGTACATGGCTTTCAAAAATATACACACCCACAAGAGAAGAAGGGAAAATACCGGGGTTTTAGTCTTGAAATAGAAATTTCCACGAAACTCCGATTGCTGTCAATGCCAATTTGACCTCGATAACTACGTTGCCTATGATTTTTGACAACGTTAAAATGGAACTTTGATTTGAAGAATGGAGGTGTGAATTGTAATTTACGTTAGTTTTCAAGGCAGAGACACTTCGTATAGACCACTTTAAAAGAATGCGACTAAGTTAAAAGAACTGGACAGTGGTAGTACCACCTCCATCACCAAGGGTGAAGGTAGGAAGATTTTTGCAACGTATATAATTTTCGGTTGGCTACCACATGAACAATGTACTTTGCAACCACCCCTGAAATCAGCTGATTTTTCGGTGATTTTAAAGGGCAATCAACGGTACAGCACATTTCCTCTTTCACTCTACCGGAGAAAATGTAACTCTTGTTTTCCAAAATCTACAAAATGGGAAAAACCGTGCATAGGGAGAGAAAGGAGTGACAATCCAATACAGTTGTCTTCGCGACTAAGAAACGACTCATCCTACCTCCCTGCTGCTGGTCTCATCACCCAAAAATTAGTCCACTGGCCTATTGGTTACATCAAGGTCATTGAAACGCGAGGTGCAAACGAAAAAGGACCAATCAAATGTGAGGCGATGACAGGTGGTTTAATATTGGGAAAGGAAATGGAAGGGAACACTATAAACGGTAGGTGGCTGTGGCATCCATGAACAATGAGCGAGTAGCAACCAGATGTGGTTAAATTCAAGATAAGTAAACACTCTAAACGAAGAGAAGAGGCACTATCCTGCTGTATCATCCCATACTTATATGAAGGAGGTAGTTATTTGAGCAAATAACAACCGACAAACGAAAGGACGTACAAAAAAGACCATCAACATTGCATACTATTCTATACCGTTTTATTTTTCACCGTTCAATTAGGGTTAGGTGAATTGTTGGGAAATAGGCGAGGCTGAGAGTTGGCCGGATAGAGCAAACACATAATAGTCCTTTATTGCATTGTAGACTTGATTCTTGCAGGTAAAATTGATGACCTTGAGAAAGACTTCAAAAGTGTTGCATAAAGTGGTTGAAATGAGTTTGTCCAGTATTAAATAAACATTCCCGACCTCGTGATCGCATTCATTCAGTTTAATTACCCGAAACTCATTAAGGCAGTATAGGACTATAAAAACAAGTTGTAAAGTTGTCATAAAATTAAAAGTGAATAGTGGGCCCGGACATGAAGCAAATAAAAACAGAACATTAATACGTTTTGCTTAAATATGTTCCATGTTAATGGAATAATAATATTATGAGAATCCGTAATGAGACAATTTAAGAAAATAAGATGATTGGAGATCTCTCGGCATGCAAATACTCAAAACGGTGGCGAATTATAGAAACCCTATGAAATTTAGGCACTAGTTGTTCGAAAGTAAATTTGCAGAGAAAGGTTCTTCTTTGTGAGAAATTGGAATTCTGGAATACCACTATATTAGTTATAAATAGCTAATGCAATTAGCCAATCTTCTCACCGGATGTGTTTCGACAAACTCCACAGACGAGCACGTTAAGAAGCATAATATCACAAAAAAATGCCTGGTTTTAAGAATAATTTATCTCCATTAATGAAAAGATTGAAATCTAAAATCAGCCAGAAGTCTGATTACCGACTTTGCTGTTGATAAATATTAATCACAGAGCCCAAAAAGAGCGTGACCTGGATTTAATTAGAACTTAAGCTGATTTTGGGGTCAGATGGATTCATGCTTCGGCGATTGAAGATGCTGACACGCCGCCCCCGCTGAATCGATCTCCCAAGACTTAACATGCTCGGATTCTGGCTAAAAGATATGGAACATATGTGCAGCCTTCCTTTCATTATATTGGTTAGTTAGTCGATTTATATCTTCGAGAAGCTTAAATATAAGTGGCTACAGACGAAACGGTAAATCAAATTATCCACCACATCCCAAATCTGAACACTATTAATTGCAACTCTGTAGTGGCAAATTGCTATAATCGGTAAAATAGGCCAGCAATGGGTGAGGGCAGAAATACAGAGGGGAGCCAGGCCATTATCTAATGAGTATAGTTCTCAAAGCACCATTTTCAGAGGATAGAAAGATCAAAGATAAGAATTTGATTTTGAGTTTCTGAGTGGTTCCATATCCGTGATGCTCAAGGACCGTTGATATGATTTAAATGAACATCTAGTTACACGTATATAAGACCAATAGGGGAGATGCCTACAACTTATGACTTTAGGAGACAATCTAAACAGAAACTAATACATAAGCCCCTACCATTAGTTTTGCTGACTAGAGTTAACCGATGGAGATCGAATTGGTGACCTCTGACTTGTTCTAGCTTAACAAACCGCGTTGATCTTAATTCTATATCAGCTCATATAAGGCACATCCATCGTAATTGACATTTCGGGGGGGGGGGGGGGTATTCAAGTTAAAACGTAACCAAAAAGAACAACCTTGATCTGTAACAAGGGGTATTATCATTAATCACTGAGGTAATCCATCTTAATTAACTTGGTACGAGTGTACAGTGAACTAAACAGCAGAGGCAACATTCTAGAGAAAGTAACCAAACCTTTTCCATCGAAAGCTATGCACTTCATTCACATTAATCATTCTTTACTACACAGGCCATGAATTAGTACATTTATTTATTTAATTAAATAAATGGACTATTTGGTGTAATCTTATCGTGGCAGTTTACAATGTGAATGACAGTCAGCAAAAGAAAGGAAGACGAATCTAACCTCTCTCTGGTGAACAGTGAACCTGACCAAATGGGCAAAACCCTAATTGCATCCTGGGGCGGGGGGGGGGATGAAATTGATGGGTCTAGGAAGAGTACAAAAGCCTAACAATGAGTCAAAATGATGATTAAGCAGCCTTAATTCCAATACTAGGGTCTGTAATGTTAGACAAAATAACCGAAGAGAACTCAATGAAAAGCTTAAATGACTAATCCCAGAGATCGCTACGGAACTAATCCCAATAACCACACTTGAAAATGAGGTAAAATTTACTTAATTGTTTGCATTGAATTATTGTATTAATCACATTAACGCGGCGTCTGGATCAGTGAATCGGTGCAGAGATAACGAGTTTATTTATTAAAGCTCAGGAAAAAGTGATATGACACGCATTCGTGCGGGAAACGCATAAAAAATCTTTTTGATGGCTGACCTGAAGGAGGTGATTTGGAGAGGGGTAGTGAGATTTCAATCTCGCTATAAGGGAGACCCCAATCCCCGGGCACAAGGAAAAATCAGGTCAAAATCTCTCAAATCCAAGTCTCTCAAATGAGATCACCATGACAAAAAGGGTCTGCTTTAGTCATCAAGAGTGACTCGAGAAAAAAGATGTGGTCATGCACACAAGTGTTGAAAAATTGGAATGGAAAAGAAATTAATTTGTCAAGGCCGCACCTTCAAAATTATAAGGATTCTTGCATTTTCAGGATAGAGACATAAAAATGAATTCTGAAACATGAATGTCTCGTTCCGCTTACCACTCCCAGCACAAGTTTTCTTAATTTCATTAAAAGAAAAAAGATTGGTACAAGTAAAAATAGAACCGACTATATTCTAAAGTAATTGAAAATTATCTCTTATCTTCCTTTGGGCATTACCATTTGCCATAAAATTAAGCAAATATTTTTAAAAATAGCACGGTTCTTGCGGTTGAGAAAAACAGTCATATAGACTTCCTATAAGCCCACAAAAATTGCATTCGAGGGTAAAGAAAAATGCTTTTACATCAAAATTCACCAAAATGGAGACAGAAAGAGAGAGAAACAAAATACCACACACAGCGTGAGTATGATTCCCCCACCCACCCCACCCCCCAAAAGGTGGCGCACATTTTAAAAATTCACTAAGACCAGAAGGACCGTTCGAAAAACCGAACGACGTAGTGTTGAGGCAGAAAGAAATAGACCAGTTTCTCCTCCAGATCAAATTACTCTCCTCTAATAAGTGTGACATGAGGAGAGCAACGCACATAATTGATGCAACATGAGCAATTAGACAATGAATTTGAACAAAAAGGAAGCAGTAGCAGGAAACTATAGTTACTGGGGTAACAAATACAGGGAATAAAGCTACTATTCCCTCCATAAGTACTGTCGTCTTAGTATTTAATATTTCTTGGGGAAGTAAATACGATTTCCAGGGGCCAACCTGTCAAATGATCCAGTTGCACAAAGGAGGGCGAATATGTGAAGAACTGAGGTGTGTGGAAGAAAAAGTGTGCTGTTTTACCCATAGAAAGAAAGAGCAATTTATCACACGCATATATGAGTGAGGACACAAAGATAAATAGAAATGCCTCATTGGCCGACGGGAAATAAGGCACGTGTGCGTGTGTGCGGGAGGGGGAGCAACCAGACAGGTTTTAGAATTGGGGGGGGGGGGGGAGAGAAATACCGACAGAGAGTTAGGCAGGGGAGAGGCAATGTGTTCTCTCGCCGGTCGGCCAACCAGCCCAAAGTATGCGCGACGTACCCTTGGTGTAATTGCGCGGGTGGGAACATGTGACTATTAGTAGCTCACATGACGAGGGTGTGTTTGAGGACAAAACCAAGAGACATGGGGTAATAGACTTGGTCAATTGTATTTTTCCTCTTCTCCCAGAGATTGGAAATGGTACACTTAATCACTCTTCCAGACTACCAGGGTGAGTGTGGATTACTAATGAGCTCGTGGTAAACTGATGCGCATTTTCTGCATGTTTTCTTGACAAGAATATCAATATATGAATGGAGAATAAGCAAATGAATGAATTAATAAAACGTGACCAGATGTATGAAATGAAAAGAAGTAAGTAATTATGTGAGCACCCAGAAGCGAGGCCTTGCACTCCCGGCACTCCCAGCACGATGTAAACACGCTCGTTGTTTCAAATATTGACAAATTTGAAAATCAATGAAAAATTTGGTTCGGTGCGTAATCTACACTAGCCTCGTGGTCTTAATAAAAAGCTGACGAATAAAACGTTAATTTAGTCACACAGATAGGTAATCGAAGGAACTCTTTACTCAAAGAAAAAAGATCGATACTCTTCTTTCGTGCACATTCCCCAATTAGCGAGCTTCTATTGACTACTAAAGTAAGAGTTAATATAGGCGGTTTCAATGCATAAACTTAACACATGCCACTCGGGACGATTAATCGATAAATCACTGGTCCTGAGGATGACCTTGGATTTAAAAGTCATCAAACCTTGTCCCAAACGCCGCAACGCTGTGTGTGCGTGTGTGGACCACCCAAGAAATGACGAAATCCCCCAAATCGACCAAATTCAAAACGAAACACTATTTTAGAGGCTGATGAAATCGACGAAGAACACACGGACGGTGGTGTACCGTTTTGTAAAAAAACGGATAGGAGGGAGGACGAAGAAGGTGTGTGCGAAGCGTGCCACGACGCTAATGGGGAATTGCTAGGAAGTGGGAGTGATTTTTTTTCGATGAATTTGTTGTACAGGTGTGAGCTTTACAAGCGTTTGTACGCTTTCACCCCAACCAATAGGTTAAGCGAAATCCGTAGAATAAAAAGCACTTGCAATTAGTACAATTGACTGGAAATTTAAATAAGACCCACTTTTTTACTTGAACCAGCCGATTCAATTATAAAAGGTGATAAGCACAAAACACTTTAATCACGCTAAAGTGAAAATAGTTGGTTTTCTACTAACAAAGATAATTGGGGAAGCTAGTATACATCTTTAAGGATGCAAATTTCGGGGAGAAAACAAAGAAATGTACTAAGTAGCATACATCGAGGATATCCTCGAATTCGGCTGTTTATATCCGTATATTTTATTCCCATAATTGTAAAAAGGAGCTAATAAATGGGCAAATCACCAGCTGCAATAGGCACATCTGTTTAGACGGGCTGTTGTATATAGTTTCGAGTTCAGTAATGCATCAACATACACGCATATATACGCAAATATCGACTTACAAGATCTGGACTTCCGAATATAGCCTCATCAGTGCTTCCCGTAGGCATTATGCTTTAGAGTAGAAAGTTTGGAAAAATACGAAGAGTGGAGAGAAAATTAGACTGTTTTAGAGTAGATTCAAAACGATTTGATATTACGAAAGAGCGGTCACACTCAGTTTTGTTTTCACCTTGGACTTGAAAAATCAATAGGCCATGGGGTGGAGTTAGAGTTCATGGACGCTCATACGGAGCTTACTAGAAGAGGAAAATAATAACACGGTTAGTCAGTATTTTTGATTGGTTGGCAGTGGCCTCATTTAGGTCAGAATGGAAAACTTAGCCAATTAACTACCCGAGGAAAATAAAAACCCCTCGGATCTCTATGATGCCAAAACCAACGAATAAAGCAATTTAAAAATTCCGACCCACCCTCCTCACCATAGGAACAAGATCAGACACCTCAAATTTCAAGATCCAAAAGCTCAGATAAGAATGAGACAAAGTAGCATTACAAGGTGTATCATGAACGCATCATAGCCAACCTAAACATGGTAGACAGAGATATTTATAAAATCACGAAAATCACGTGTGGTGTGCGGTAACTTAAATTAGACGAAAACAAAACCTCAGGTGCAGAGGCTTAAAGTGATTCACAGTCATCAACACATAATGATGCGTATAAGCAAGAACATTAAGCACGGGGTTTATAAGATGGTCACTTATTGATTAGGGAGTCTATAAAACCCTAGAAAACATACAATGACTTGAGAGCATGAAAGTAGGATGAATTTGATGGACAGAACTTAAAGGCTAAAGAATGCGTAAAGTTGTCGAGAAACCAGTTATTTCATTACAAAAATGTCGGAGGAAGATCATTATGTTCAAGCTACTCGAAAGACAAAAGAATCGTTGTGCGAAATTTCGGGACACTGGTTCTTTACTAGACTTCAAAGGGATTTAAGAAGTTGCAGGAGGGTATATAACTGCCATTTTATGCGCGATTTAAAAAAATGTGTTAAGAGTTTTCCTGGTTTTGGAAGTAGAATTTCAATTTTTCCTCTGCCATTCGCATACTATAAAGATTTAATGCGAATATAAGGCAAAATCCCACTTTATAACTTGGATCAACTCAATTTTCCACGCACAAAATTTAAAGTATTTGCTTTCAAGAACATAAGATTTTTCGTGAAACATACAGTGAATTGAAAACAAATATAGGTTCAATGAATAGCAGTTTGATAGTAACATAAATATGTAGTCCGAAATTGAACAATAGTAAAGGCAGTTCTTATATCTGGAAGAAAACAAAGAGGTCAGTAAATGAGGTGTAAAATGTAAAAAAGACGATTTTCTGCATTGCATATTCTTCTGTAATTGAGGTGAACTAATCAGGTCGAAATAAGCTGATGAGTTTAGCGAATATGAGGAATTTGAACTTTACCTTGTATGACGACCCATTCTAGCTCGAAGAAATAGGGTCAACCAGCAAATAATCACTACCAATCACCTTACAGACTAATTAAATAAGATGGTCTTATGGAGACCATAAGCATGCGATTACTAACAAAGATTGATCGAGATAATAAAAGGAAAAAAAATCACTAGAAGGAAGACTATTAGAAGCAAAGTGTTTATGAGGGAGGAGAGGAAAAAGAGGCAATCACAGTGTATTCTAGTCTAGTAGTAGTAGTCAAATGTCAAGCTGCCCAGGGGTGGATAATTCCAGATAAAATCCAAAGCCATTTCAAGAGTGAAATCCTGCAAAACTGCAACTACGGGTCAAAGAGTTGACCCTAAAAGATGATTATTGCTCGTAAATTTCAGGACTCTTCGAATAGGGTAAACGGTGAACCTTATAAGAGCTGGGAGTCTCTATTAGATAATCAATGCTCTCAATGACCTATAGAAAGATTACAACCGATTAGTATATCGTGATATATTGTAATGCGAGTGGAGTTTTCAGTTAATCAAGAAAATGCAAATTGATTGGTAGGGGGGTGGGGGGATCAAATTGTCAAAAAGTAGGTGGGTAGTATAACACGAGAAATTAACAACATTTTAAAGTAATAAAGTTTGAAAACTCACCTGTAGGTGGATATAATTTAAAGTGAATAAATTCGAAATAATTTGAGATATTTGTGCATAAGGACTCGTGAATGTACAGGGCATGTGCTTTAAAGAATGACAGCTAATAGACACGTGAATCAGGAGGTTAGTTAACATATGAGCTAAATGAATGATAAGAATAGGGAAATGTTAAAAATTAAAAATCTTATCCGTATGGACACATGACTATCAAACCATCATATTAAAGGGAACGGGTTACTGTACTGTCAAATAAGGAAAATATGTATTTTCACACTTATAAATATCGTAATGCTTAAACTAAAACGGTATATGGTGGATCAATTAATTTGGTCCAACATATATCACGGGCAAAAGAGAAAAATGTTTAGATATTAAAAGTGAAATCATTAATAAAAATTGAGCTCCACATGTTATTTTCAAATTGAAGAGAAAATTAATGAAAAATGAAGGAAAAAAGGTTCTCAAGATTTATTAGAAGTTTCATCAAGCATTAAATGAATAAACAACAATATCTTCGAAACACTGCAGATTTGGAAGACAAGAAAGTGCTGCAAAAGTAGCCGTGTTAAAAGCCGAATATGGAGACTGGATAAAAGTTAGCATAAATAATTTTATCTAAAAGAACAATTTCCAAAAGACACGACACTTACAACAACAGACTTACGAACCGTTGAAAATGTGACTCGATAATAATTAATGTTACGCCGCTCACATGCCCTTGAATTCTATATGAAAAAATAAGACCGAATAACTAAATATGTAAAAAATCTTATTTTAATTTTTATTAGTAAAGATACTTAAATATGATATATTTCAATTAATCATTTGCTCTATCATTTGCATGCAATACTTGGAATTAAAATATTAGATTAGGTTATTTTATTTATTAAAAACGAACAGATTATCCTTATATATATACTTATAAGTATATAAGTGTTTTGGATTCTTCTAGAAACGCCATTGTTATGGGTTTTTCATTTGACCACTTTAATGTTTTAAAGTTGAGAGAGTTGAAATTTGCAAGTTTCAAAATGCAATCTTTGGGTACCTAATTAATTGCCATTCAGACTTATCTAGAGTTAGTCTATCAATGACTTCCTCATATCCCCTACCGACGACTTATATCAATTCCATTATTATTTGACTTTTAGAGGAAATACATTTCGTCGGTAGTAGGACAATATGCTCAAGTTAGATAAATCGTAAAATAATTTAAACACAAAAGCTTCTGAAACACCTATGGATACCTTTTAAAAAAAATTACTACTGAAATCGATTTTGCATGGTAGCACTTTAAATTCATATTTCATGTATTTCTTCGGCTAATCCTCTTATCATTTTCGTCCTGAATTACCATTCATGAAAGTGATTCAGTATTGATTTTTATGTTTATCAGATCTAATTTAAGTATATATATCCACTATGTATTTAGACTTCGCTTATTAACAAAACGCTTGAACTTGAAAAAATTTTTATTTTATTGAGCCAATAAACACACATCCCATAAGCAAAAATGTTCTAGATTAATTCCCATTAAAGGAAGATCTATTTTTTCGATCATAGCATGTGAAATTTAGATGAATTTTTTAAAAAAATTTAAAAATGAACAGTCGAAAACAAAGCCATTTATTGCATATGGGAGATATTTGCTAAATCTATATGCTTGATGGATTATTTCAAATGGCTAAAAATAATACCTTGTTTACGAAGCTATGCGCTAATTAAAGGTTCCTGAATTGAAATCCTGACTGTCAGTGAATAATACCATCTACGTAAATATTGATTTTGGGCATATAGATAATGGTAGCCAAGAAAAGCGCTATTTGATTCACTGACTAACGAGTATTCGTCGTATCTCAAGAAGAATTATTTATATCTACTAACTATTTTAATCAAGACATTTATCTACACTAATCAAATGAGTAATTAATAAATTACGGGATGTTTCATGTTATCCCGCTCTGCTCACGGGACAAACATTAATTGATTTATCTGCTGTTCTTATCGTTCTTATACACTATTAAAAGCACTTTACTACATCTATTAGGTCAACGTTATGCAATGCAAATTGAAGCAAATAGAAGCTTAATTGTTGACGAAATAAATCTAAGTTTATTTAAACAATGTGATATAGAGAAACTAAAATATTTAAAAAATTTCAATATCAAGCATGAATGTAGTAGTTTGGGATTTTGTCAAAGAATATACGCAAGAGTATGAAAACTTTAAAATTTTTTATAAAATGATATATTTTCAGATCAAAATCAATATGATTGAATTAAATTAAATATGCTTTCTGAAATAAGGAAAGGAAGAAAAGCCTATGTAATGATTTAACTCTAAACATTATAACTAATATGATATAATTTGTTGCTTGGTTCAAATATCTTGTTTTATCTTTTAGTTAACATTTGTTTAAGTTAAACACAGTGCCCAAGTTCACATCCGGATTTCGCGGGTAACGTTTATCTCCATTTTGAAAGTTCCGCTGAAAAAGTGAGCGAAATTCTAATTTTCCGGTATTTTCAAAAGCTGTTAAGAGGGCTCCAATATTGCAATATGTGTAGATGATAGCCATTGTCAGCAAAATTGCAAAACCCGCGGCTTTATAACGTTTGACTTGCATCTTTTCCTTTTCATTTTTTGTCATGGTACTATTTACCTGGATTGTTAAAGCGTCTGTATATGATTGAATATCAGCATTTAACTGCCTTAGTCAGTTTAAAATATTTTATTCATGCATATTCGATAGTTAGCTTTTTTGCTACTTTTTAAGTCATATAATACTTTACTTCTCCAGCTTTAATGTTAGAATGAACATTCAACCACTGATTTTATCTGAATTAATTAACTTTTTGTGATGGTAGCATTTTTTAAATTTTAGGCATAATGGATATAAAGTCCGGTTCATTCAGCGGCTCTGGTGATTATTTTGACATACCCGCAGCTGAGCAAGAAGTTACGGTTGATTCCAACGATCAACCAAATACTTCAACTATAGGTGCTTCGCTCGTTCAAAATATTTCGACCGTCCGAAATGATGCCATTCTTCAACCCGTTGGTCAACAAGTTTTTCGGCTACCAAATACTCCTCAACGTTCCCGTGTAATTATGTTGCAACGTACGAATCAGGGTCAAATTGTGGGTGCGCCACAGCCCCAATCACAGCAAACTGGTCAAGAGATAAGAGTTAGTTATCATTACCATTGTCTTTTATATCTTCCTTTTAATTGCCCTTATATGTTTTTTCTTTTTAGGGTATAAGGTATGTAACTTTGCCTGGTGCAGGTGGCAAGCAGATCAAAGCTGCCGTTATTCCTAAACATATGCTCCAACGCGGTCTCAGATTTGTGACGAGTTCCGGTCAACAAACGCTTACTCCTGGGGGAACGGTGGTTGTTAACAATCAGCCTGGTACACCCGGCACACCTCGAATTCTCACTCTCAGACCAGCTACTCAAATTGGGGGTCAAACTGGCCCTGGAGTGACCTTTCTGAGTCCTGCGGGAGGTGGTCAGATTCGGCCGGTATGTTTGTTTTTTTCTCTTCACTTTAACATGTTTCAACTTTGCCATTTCTCAATCTTTTGTTTTTCTATTTATCTTAGAGAACAATTATTGTCTCAAATGCTTGTGGCCAGGCCCGTGTAACTCAAGGCTTCTCTTTAAACCAACAATTATCGCAGCAAGAGGAAATGGAGAATTCGTATATTCACCAAGGGCCTGAGGGTTATGTTCAACAGGGGTATCTTGATTTGTCCGCCACTGCAGCTGCTGCACATCCGGGCCATTTCGGTCGCCAAGCCAGTCCAGGTGGACATGAAGGCGAAGGAGAGGAGGATCAGTAAGTCAATATTTTTATCTGACTTAGCAGATTTATGTGGGTTACTTATTTTTCGTATTACCTTTAGTGTCAACACTGGACTTAAAACCAATGGCTTGAGACGCTATGCTCGATGCGTTTGCAATAAGGTGAAAGAAAAGGGAGTGACCTCTTACGGAGAAGTAGCAGACGAACTAGTTCACGAATATGCTGCGGAGCATCCCATGATTCCTTCTGAACAGGTATGCGTTATCTGTTCCTTAAATTCACTTTCCATAAGTAAGATCTATTATTTATTTTCTATTGCAGTTGCATTACATTCAAAAAAACATTCGTCGTCGTGTCTACGATGCTTTGAATGTTTTGATGGCTTTAAATGTTCTACAAAAAGAGAAGAAGGAGATTAGGTGGATGGGTCTTCCCGTAAATATGATTGAGGAATGTCGTAGGCTAGAAGATGAAAGAGAAAAGCGTCAAAATTCTCTTCGAAATAAGGTATATTTCCTTTCTATATTTAAATCAATTTGAATTGAATTGATTTCTAATCGTGTTCATTTTGTCCTTTAGACTGCGGAAATACAGGAGTTGATACTGCAGTTGATTGCTTTTAAAAATCTGATCTCTCGTAATCGTTTGACAGAGAATATGCGAAGAGAGCAACAACAGCACCAAACTGGCACTGGCAATCAAAAATCGTCAAACAACCTGGATGAAAATGTGGCCGCTTTGATTCCTCAGCGTCTTGATCGCATTCCTCTGCCATTCCTTGTCGTTTCGACCAATAGGAAGGCGGCAATTGATTGCAATATCTCCAAAGCTAAGTAAGTTCACTGTTTTCGTTTTAATATTATAGATATATTAGCTTGTAATAATGATGTTTTGTTGAATTTGCAGGCTGGAGTATTTCTTTAATTTCGACCAGCCCTTTGAAGTTCGGGATGAAGTCGATACATTGAAGCGAATGGGCCTTACTTTACGACTAGGAAGTCCACAGTGTACCCAAGAGGAGTATAATCAGTGCCTTGAGCTTATTCCTCCTTCACTTCGTTTCTATGTTGAAGGTAAGTCCTTTCAGATAAACATAAAGCCCGTTGCTTTCAGTCCCTTTTCACTGTAAGTAGTTTTATGCCTAATTGGAGTAGTTATTATGCCTATTGCTTTGAGATAAGGATGTCCCTAAAACTAGAACTGTCCTAAATAGGGGGACGCAGAGGTGTTCGAGATAAATTTGACTCAAGAAATAGATGGCGTTGTTGGAATTCAAAGGAAATTCAATAGACAGGGAAGTTATACAATTGTCAATAGTTCCACTCAAAATTGTGGCCCCGGCTACTGAAGCTAGAGCAACAAGATTTTACACATTCCTTGCGAATGAGTCTCAAAAATGATGTCCATTCTGTCCATTCATCAATTGGCGCTTGTCTAATTAGAAGCCATGTCGTCGTTACTTATCAGTGGGTATCTAAGTTATTGAGCAGCTATTTTTTTCAATGCAAGGTTATCGGAATAAGTGTAACTGAAAAAGATTTCTTAAAAGCCTGTAATTCGCTTGGTAACATCTTGGCAAATCGGTATGATCCTCGTTCAGGTATGGTTATTGGCAATGAAGTTCGAGATAATCAGGCATTACCTAGTTTGCTTATCATTAATTTTGAATACATTTTTGGGAAGGATGTTGATTAATTGTTATCGTTACGTATTGACTGTTACCCCTATTGTGAGTACGATTTTGTGTTCTCGTTTGCCTTAAGTACTTACCGTCGCCTTTTCCAAACATTAGCGCTAACTGCCTCACGTTGCCTCCTCCTTTTCCCATTACTCATCTCATAATCCAGATCTTTTGCGTGGTTATCGTTCAAGCAGGTTTTTAGAGTGAGGTCGAACTTTGTGTGTTCTTTAAATTGTCGCCCTCTTTTTTGTTCAGTTATCTGTCTACATCGTTATTCCATAATTCTATAATTTAATCTTCTCAATCAAAGCTAGTTGTGTTTAAAATGGGTGAAATAACTTGAATTTTAGTTTGGAGCAGTTTTTTTTGTTGAGCTAGATTCCACAGCCTTCATTCTAAAATAAAGTGGAGTAGAAACAGAAAATGCTTTGGGTGCTTGTATTATGAGTGGGTCAAAGCAGATTTTGACCACGTAGCAAGTTGTGTAACACAAGTAAACATAAGAAACATGAGATGAGATTAAGGTTGGACTTTTAAATGGATGCAGGGGGCTAGACAAGAAAATCCCAAAAGATGTCTCCCGATCTTTAATTCACTTTCTAAGCTTTATTCTAGTAGTTATTTTATTGCCCCTTTTTTAGCTATCTATGAGCGTCGCCAAGCCATTGTTCCAGATTTTGATGCCCTGCACCAACAGCGCCGTCTCTTTGTTGAAGCCCGTTTGGCTGAAGTTTCTGGAACAGGAGGAGAAGAAGATCCAAATAGCAATTCCCACGGTGCTGGTAGTGGTGGTGACCACCGTCGCTATGGAGACGATGAGTTCTTTGGCGGTGAGAGTGAAGGTCAACCCACTTCAGAACAGATTCATCTAACTCGTGGTGGCGGTACTGATATCACTCCTGGAGATACTCAACACTACGCTAGAGCAGCGGCTTCCCGTGGTTTTGTGGTACCTGGTGGCCCTGGAGGGCTCTTGCGCCATTCTGCGAACAGCATTCATCGTCAGGCCGTCAAAATGACAGTTGAAAGTGCATTGGCTGAAAGTGCTGCTGCGGAGAATGCATCGGCAGCTGCCGCAATCAGTGCTGCAGGAGATGGGCGACTATTCGAGGTTGGAGAGGATGAGTCGGATGTGGATATGGTTGAGGAAGATGAAGAAATAGATAATGAGTCAATAAATGATGATGTGGATATGGTTGAGGTCGAAAGACATGTCAAAGCTCGTCATCCATCGGATTCTTAAATACCAAACACACTGACGATCTATGTAAATTTTGGGATTTTAGTACTTCTCCATCTATATATATATATATATTTTTTTTGTGTCCCCTATGAATAAACTATTCTACATGCCCATTCATCATTTTGTGTATCTGAAATTTGGGAATATAACATATACGGTCATTTATATATGCCTGGTTTCTTACGTCTTGTGTACAATTTATGAACAATTTCAGCTTTAGCTTTGTTTAACGGGTTGAATATTGTTTGACAAAATAATTTAGCTTCCAGTCTTTGTTGTAGTTTGGAGGCAAGCAAAATGAACCAAGCATCGACATCAAAAAAGTCAGGACGTAAGAGGTAATGATTGAATACCGAAAAATCTACTATTTCAGAAAGCATTCGGAAATATTAGAAGGCCCATCTGAAAAAAGTGGAATGAAGGAATCGAGGATCCCATGCAAATACGGGACAGAATGTTATCGAATTAATCCAGATCATTTTAGGAGATACTCTCACCCCAGTATTTCTCAAAATTGTAATTCTGGGTCATTGGGATCTAATAGTGTTGTCGATTGCGAATCAGATTATGGTTTTTATTTGCATCGGGTGTCTGGGTTGAAATATGGTTCGATTCCAACAATTACGCTATCAGGTGAGTCGATTTCAAAAGGCTGGGAATTTTAACTTAGAGAAAGTAAGCGAACATTTATTTTAAAGGACAGAATTTTGTAAATCAGGAAATTAGTGGTTGGAAAATTATGTTACGATAGTTGACAAAAATCCTATTTCACCCACGATAAAGCATAAAAAATTACAATCGTTGTAATCATGGGATCGCATCTGAATAGCCATGACAATACAATGCTTTGCAAGTGGCTGAAATACGGAAAAAAGCGAGGTTCGTTCTTTGGATTCTGGTTGCACTAAGTTGGTCAATTTTCCTCAAATTCGGGTGTCCCCGATTTCAAATCGCCTTGGTGAGTACATATCAGCGACATCTGTCATCTCGATAAGCATGTCATCTCAGCAAAGAGTGTCCAGATGATACAAATCTACTTCATCGCATAATAATACCCTCATTTGTGGATTCTTGCGTCATAGAAAAGGGCATATTTCGATATTTGGCCATAAGTTAAATCACCTGATCTATCGATGGCTTGATCATATTTTCTCACGCGTAGTAGGGGTAGGGATATTTATATGTTGAATTAGATTGGCTATTAAATGAACAGCCGGCTCCAAACTCAACTAAGAGGAACCTGATATGCTTGCGGAATGATAAGCCCAATTTATGATAAATATACATTTATTTTTGCAGAAATATTGAACGAAAAGAATGGCGAACTTCAGGAATCAGCACAGGTAAGAGAAAAAGCAACATTGCTTAATTTTATTAACTGATTTGACTTAAAAGTAATCACATTATTTTTAGTTTAATTATATGTTTGAAGTTGATTGGATGATTCAACAATATCCACCAAAATATCGGTAAGCAGATCTATCAAAGTTTATACTAGTTTGTTTGTTTATAAAAAAATATCATTTTTTTCTGTAGATCTCTCCCTCTCCTTATCGTTCACGGCTATGGAGATCGTCAATCTCGTGAGCTTGGACAGAAAGCGTTTAAAATGTGTAACCTTACTGTTGTTGAGGTGAGACATTATTTTCTTTTAAATATTAACATAATCTACTATTATTATTTAAGTAGCAATGTTGTCAAATTTAGGCTCCAATTCCATTTGCCTATGGCACACATCACACGTGAGTTCGGTACATATCTGATGTCCTGCTAACTAAAATAAAACTTTTCTGTTTTTAATTTTAGAAAAATGATGCTCCTAAAATATGATGACGGGATGCGAGTTGTGATCCATACAGCTAATCAAATTCAATCTGATTGGCATCTTCGAACCCAGGGGCAAGTGTTTCAAACTTATTGCAAATTGTGATCATTTTGAATTTACATATCACTGCAATGGTACGCCGTCATTTCAGTGCTGTTAGATATACATTGAAAAAGTAGTATTGACATAGTTGCCCACACCAATTTGAAAGAAGACTGGTAATCAGTGCCTCTAATAATGGGACAAATATTGACGAAATAAAATTTTAGAGACTGGCTCCCAATGGGTTTTCAAAATTCTTATCCTGATATTCACTAATCTCTGAAGCCTAGCTATCTCGACCTCACAGGCGCACTTAATCCTGTCGTGACCTCGATCATTTTATTCTAATTAGTGGGAGAGCAATTTTGCAAAGTGTATCAAGGATGATCAAAGGTATCTACTGCGCTTTAGGATAGTCCGGAGAGTGTAGACTTGCGTGCTGAGATTCCCCTCAACCAACCGGCGATCAATTTAACGCAAGGTCGCATAGTGTTACTCGTGCCTAATGCCTAAGTATGCTGGTTGTCTTAGTACACACTCAGTTATCTTTTGTCTTCTTGGATGTTTCACTCTTATTCGCTCGGATAATCTTACAAATTGTTAATTGTTACAGCTGCCCGTATATTTACTTAAATTCATAAAACCGAGTGGCCTCTGCTTAGCTGTTAATGGAGCTAAAATTAGCATGGCGAAATTAAACAAGAGATCCAGTGTTGGAGAATTGATTTCTGCTAATTATTGGGTGGGCAACTAAGTCATTGCCATTTTTGTTGACAGATTCACTCTATACTTTCTTTTGTTTTGTTAACGTGGCCAGAGCATCTAACTTATATTTTTTCTTACTGTATGGGCTTCTAGGTTAATTAGTAAAAATTTTTTTTATTTAGCTCTTTAGTTTTGTTTTTATCCCAATTTAAAAATGAAAGAACAGGACGTGCACTTCCGACACATTTTATTGTATTACTTCCGAAAAGGCAAGAACGCATCGCAAGCACAAAAGAAGTTATGTGGCGTATATGGAGATGAAGCCTTAAAAGAAAGGCAGTGTCGAAATTGGTTTGAAAGATTTCGTTCCGGTGATTTTTCACTGAAAAATTCACAACGATCTGGCCGCCCAGTCGAAGTGGATGAAACCCATATCAAGGCCATTATCGATTCAAATCGTCACAGCACAACACGAGATATTACAGAGAAGCTCAATGTGTCGCATACATGCATTGAAAAAAATGAAAAACCTTGGTTATGTCAAGAAACTTGATTTATGGATCCCTCACCAGTTAAAGGAAATTCATTTGACGCAACGGATTAGCATCTGTGATTCGCCGCTACTGAAACGCAATGAGAATGATCCATTTCTGAAGAACCTAGTTACTGGTGACGAAAAGTGGATAGTTTATAACAATGTTACTCGCAAGAGACCATGGGTGAAGCAAGATCAACCAGCCCAAACAGTATCAAAAGCAGAGATTCACCAAAAAAGATTATGCTGTCAGTCTGGTGGGATCACAAAGGAATTTTGTATTTTGAACTCATGCCGCAGAACCAAACGATAAATTCAAATGTGTATGTTGAAGAACTCGAAAAAGTGAAGGATGCAATTGAAGATAAGCGGCCGGCATTATCAAATTGGAAGGGTGTTGTTTTCCATCATGATAACGCAAGGCCCCACACATCTTTGGTTACTCGGCAAAAATTATTGGAACTGGGTTGGGATGTTTTGTCACACTCACCATATAGCCCTGACCTTGCGCCTTCGGATTACCATTTGTTTCGTTCCATGCAAAACTCTTTAAATGGTAAAATTTTTAACAACGCGGATGATGTCGGATCACACCTAATTCAGTTTTTTAATAGCAAAGACCAGACATTTTACGAAGGGGGAATTTTTACTCTGCCAGAACGATGGAAAAAGGTCATAGACAAGAACGGCCAATATCTAATTGAATAAAGTTATATTTTTAAACAAAAATTCCGAATTTGCCTTCTTATTTGAAATCGGCAATGACTTAGTTGCCTACATAATACATTACATATCCCACTTTTGAAGGTTTCTAGTTAGCAATATGCACTTTCTATGCTTAAGCTATATGTGTTGGAGTTTTTTCAACTCCTAGCGGCACTAAACCGAAGATTCGACAAATGTCGCTCTTCAATTAAGCCATTGATTTAACTTTCTTGTCCTTTTCACAAATTGCTTTGATTTGACTTCACAAAGCATGTGAGCTCAACTGACTGAACTATAGTTTTAACTCCGCCCTTTAATTGATACATTAATTCTCATCCCACCTTTTTCACTTCAATAAATCTGCCACTAATTGCTAGTTGTTTAACACAATAAAAAGCGATCATTATTATTTAGTATCTTCACTAATTTAGGATATGGTTATCGCCGAAACTCACTCCTGGGAACAAGGATTCAAAAACCAACTTTCGAGCTGATCTGATCCAATATCTCGAAGCATATGATTCTAGACAGCTCGATCACTGGCTCGATATCATCAAAAATCATGATTTCAGTTCTATCAAGTACGTTATTATCTTAATTTGATGGTTCACCAATCGCCAGTGAAAGCTAATCTAATAAAACGCTATATCTTAGCAATAATCATTGACAGGTTATTTTACAAATCACATCATCAATGGACTTCACTATACCTAATCAGAATCCAATTTGTGTCATTTCAAAATATGTGCATTCCTTTGGTGGTTTAAGTAATAACTAATATAGCGCAAACGCTATTTGCAAAATCGATTGTATGCCGCTGGCAGGTCACCATTTTCTGCTACATCGGGCATAAAGGCCAAATCACAGCCTAATTTATGATTATGCCATAGGACTAATATTTCGACCACTAGTCAACGGAGTGTCTTCAATTTAGGGCGATCTTTGCACGTTGACTAGTTTTCAACGTAAAATTTTTCAAGCACACGCTTACATGTATTTTCACATTCCTGGACAAACCCCCTACCAATTGGATCGAGCCACGCTCCTATCTTTTCGACATATTTTGGCTAGAGTGTAATTTTAACCTTCTTGTATTAATGTTGGGTTTATATTCTTAAAATAAGTATTGCCATCTCAATTTACCTGAGCATTTCGAGAGTTTAAGTTTGCAGAAATTCACACTAATGGCCCAGTGAGATAAGTCGTGATTCGAATATTCTTCAAATTAAAAATCTGTGTTGGCCATTTGGAACTGGAACATGTGTTGTATTAATGGTGCACTTTAACCTATTTCTTTAACTCCCACAAGAAATTGCACTTTTGTAATTTTAAGCCGGATAGAAAATGGTTTTGAATTGTAAACAAAAGTTGTTCTTTTTTGAAAAGGACGTTGATATAATCAAGTCATCTAAGAATCGAGGCAGTTTAATAAAATTGTTTTATCAAACGGGAAAATTAAAGTAAGCGCAAATAATGTGTTTTTTGTTTTGTTTTTACTGACTAATTAGATTGAGATTGGCAGATTGTTGATTTATCGATTGATAATGATATTTGCTCTTGCAAGAGTGGCTGTTACGCTTGCACAAATTATCGACACATTCGGGATTAAATAAAGAACGTGTAAATTGTTTAGCACTTTCAAATAAATAGGTTGATAATTGAGGGTGGATTTCGTGCATATTTGCGCATGCTTTAACAAAATGCTAAATCATTATCCTACTTAATTTTATTTCGTTAATTCACTGACTATTCTCCAACTTTCTACGTGTATTTATTAAGGGTTTAAAAATGGTTTTCAACTTTAGGAGCTGGCGTTTATTTGTTTGTCTGTGGTTTGCGAACCAAGTCATTAAAAAGTTTAATTTCACCTTCTTGAAAGGTATTATTTATCATTTGCTGAAAGTGATTTCGTAAGTGTGCCCTAATGCAAATTTGTTCTTAATGGGATAAATGAGGTCAGGAATAAATGTTCAGTAGGAAATAGGATACATATTTGGTTAAACGTGTGCCTGATAAGGATGTGTTAAGTATTACATGTTCCTCTTATTTACATTTTAAGCTGAAATCGTAAATCATCATCCCAATTATTTTTCTCAACATTTGAATAAGATGGAGAAATTTAAACCCACTTATCAAAACTTCATTTTTAATATATGTTTCCGTGGTCCTTAACGTTTCTTTTGCACCATCTTACTGATTAGAGACTAAGTGCTGTTGAGAAAAATGCTAACAAAACGTAACTATAGGGACACAATTGCCAGAATACTTGCCATTTTAGGTCATTTTGTAGAGCGATGAAAATCATTTCTTTGAAAAGTTATGTTTTGGCGCGTTGAGCAAAACTGTAAATCTTTAGCCGTGATCGAAGAATCTATCAAGTAGCGCTTATTGAAAGGCAACTATTGAAATGAGATTTCCTACCTATTGTTACTGGGGCAATGCAGTAGTCGTGCTACACTACTTATATAAGTAGCCATCTTGATTAAATAAATAAATAATTAATTCATTTGGAAATATATTTCTTGGATACACACTGATGAATTAATCGACTTGAGAGGTTGTAGGATGCAGCAGACCAATCGGTGCGGCTTCAAGATATTGTTCTCACAACCAAGGTAAGCATTGAAAACTCCTTCAATACAATTTGGGGTTATAAGGGTGTTAATGTATGTAAACAGCAATTATGCTTCAAGGAAAGCACCAGTTCCCGTCTATTCAACAAAGTTAAAATGGTATTTTGAACCACGTTAGTACCTTTGCGGATGATTTGTCGAGAATTCTCGGTGTTTATGGCTCTTATTTCTAACTCGATTCGACGGTAGCAGAGTGATTAACTAATAAATTAACGATAATGTTGTCGATGATCATTTTTGAGCAACCTGTAATGCAGGTCAATGTTGTCTTTGAAGATGAGGTTTCCAGTTTCCCGAAATAGATGATTGTTGATTGAAGTCTCTGTATCCGAACTTGAAGTCACTCTTTGAGTATGTTACGGATATTTCACATAGCGAGTCTGCAAATACGGTGATTTATATTTTTACCTTGTTAGAGTTTGGCTTATCGCCAGCGTGCCGGGCCGACACAAAGGCAATAGAATGAACTTATTTGGCCACCTCAAACTTGCCTCCGTAAGTCGAACATAATTTAATATCTGAAATGCTCCCTTTGTCTATTTGACGTGTCGTTGCCTGGCGCCTATTGGTATTTACGAGCTTTATTGCACAATTTCGTTTTACGCAATAATTGATGTTCACTATTTCTTTAAAATTACTAATTGTATTTAGCATTCGTATTCATCAAACTATATCACGTGATAGTAACAAAGTGCTAATTTAGCTCCTTTAAATTGCTGTTTTAGTAGAGTAACTAAACTACATCAGAAAGAGAACGAAAGCACATCCTATTGATTAGAATTAACTACTGCAGTTGGCGTCCACATCATTGAATGCTGTGATGTGCACAACGCTGTTATGGATGAACAAAGAAATCTCGTGTTTACTCAGTCAGACTCGAAGGTGCGCAGTGCTACTTGTCGCTTTGGTAGCAAATGGGGCTGTAAGCTCGGAGACCTCTCAGCCAGTCGCAATCAATCAATACTCCTTGCATGGTTTAGCAAGTCCTTTATTATATTTTAAGGACTAACTTCAATGTCTGTGAAAACATAGTACAATTTATCACACGGGATGCAAGTGCGGGGTGAGTGTAGAGAACTCTGCACCAGCCACTAATCAGTGGTCCCTGAATTGTTTAACAGACCCTTTTTGGTATTTAATGGTTAAGCTCCATGTCAGGGACAGCCCAAATGAACGTATTCCGCGTCGTACATCCGTTGCGGTAGCTTGGTCAATCCTGGGAACCATTCCAAACTAGGAGATCTTGCCATAGAGATTGCCAAGCAAAAGTCAAGGCTTATTAAGGTAGAAATCCGCTACAATGTGAATCGATAAGGATAAGTCTCGTGAACTTTGCCTTGCCTGGTGTTTAAGTTGTCCAACTTAACCTTTAATTCGGCAGAATTAGTTTTTTCTCTGATGTGTAACGAAATAGTAAAGTCTTTTAACATGAGGACGCCTTGTTTACCCAATTCTAGCCAAGTTAGTTTCCAATCAGTACTAAGATGTTCTGACTGAGGATAAGAAATAATCAAAATCTTACCGCTTTTATTGATGCATTTATCTACTGAACCCTTCTTGGAACAAAAACGCCTACGAAAAAATGGCTAGTCTGGATTCAGGTGAAAGCGCTGGCTTGAGAGTGAAAGAATTGTTACCATCATTATCTAGATTTTCTGCCGTTAAATCCCCCCCCCTCTCTTTACGATATTAATTATTTTTAATAATTAGAAGTTATTTCAACGAATCAGAGGTGAATGAAATTAGTTGATTTGGAATAGCCATCCACAACACAATGTGGAAAGTGCTGTCATGTATCAGGAAGTAAAAGTAAGAGTGCTCTGTCATGGGAAAGGATAGTAGATTGAAGAGCAAAGAAGGCTCATCGCTTGAAGTACAGACTTTGCTGAAGTCACTAAACTGGGATGTTGTTAAATCGTGAGGGTAGGCCATTGAACTTGAGGCCATGCATTTACGAGCTAAATGTATTTTGCTTTATTTGTAGGTATTAGAGAAGATTGAAGTTGATCGTACCTGGCCCATTGTCGGTCAGTTTTCGTCCATTGGTAGTTTAGGTGGTCAGCCGACACAATGGCTTACAACGGAATGGTCGAGTAGCTTGGCTGGCCGTGGTGCTCGAGGCATTCGTCTGGTAAGTTTTCATTTTTAGGTCGCACGGTAATTATTTATTTATTTCAAATGGCAGGCGTTATGATAGGTATCATTAGCCCTTTAGTTGACTTCGTGCTTAACAGAAAGAGGAACACCAAAAAGGCAAAAAGTCGAGAGGGGGGACAGAATAATGATTCACAGACGTAAAAGAGACAGACAGACACAAAGGTAGAAAAAGGGTGAGTACTGTGGAAGTGGTCGAATATAACATACAGTGGGGTCATGGTAATTTGAAGTCAGAAGTCAACTGCCGGTCAATAGACATTTTTGCCGTATGAGTATACGTTGCCCAGGGTGCACCACGTGGAGGTAAGCCTATCGCACACCCCGCACGGTAATTATCAGATGGCTTATTTGATCGTAAAGAAAACTATTGTTTAGTTAGCTTTAATCGACCTAAGCTGGCAAGGAAGTATAGAGGTAGGTAGGTAGGGGGGGGGTCGGGGGTCGGGGGAACAGAACTTTCATTTAATGCATTTAATGCGCATTTAAAGTATCTGAACTTGTCGGGGTTGGCTTTATGCATGAAGAAGACTAATCGACGATTCACTGTTTTACTCTGAATTAATAACTCCCTAGCAAAATAGCAGAATAGAGCTCAAATTCTGCCTTTATTGTCCAGAATTAGGCAGATTCGTTGGTCATTTCTCTTCTTAGTGGGGCACAGACTGGTATTAAATCTATGACCTTCATATTCATGAGTGAGTAATATTTAATTAAAATTCGTAAGCGTTCGTCTAAAATTTTTTAAATCACAAGCGACTCAATCTTAGAACATATTGCTTACTTTATTTTAAAAAATCTTAACAATATTCGCTTTGATTTTGCCAGTTGTACTTGCAATAATTTCTCACCGTATTTCTTCTTATTCAACTGGCACTCAATTCCACAAAGTGCTGCCAACTTGTCTGTCCAATGAGTGTGGACAGAACTTATTAAGCGGTGATACCACGGGCGGTTTGATAAGCCATCATTAGGTATTTCGATGCCCATAGAACATTCAACTTGGCGTGGCGAAAATTTAGCTTCTCCATCACTGACTACATAATCCCCCCCCCTCTCCAACCTTTGCCAATAGTTGGCGTTAAAAGCGCCTTCCACGATAGGAATTCTTTGTAATTATATTATTATTAGTACCATGCTGTGGCCTATATTACCTTTGCGGATAAGTTCCGTCTCATGAGAATTTCAAATCACCCTAAAGGCCAATATTGGATAATGCCAACTGTTAAAAATCTGGGGAAAATCAGGACTTTGCTTTTTATTGTTTGGTATTTGATTCTGAGAGCTTGGAGTCTGCTGTATTCTCGATAATATGCATTTCTATTGCACAAAATGGTCTATCAGGCTCTTTGTTCGTTAGTGCAAAGTTTCGTCATCTTCAACTTGTTTGAAGTGTTTAGGATTAAATAATAGATGATTCACAACTATTTGGGTGTTAATTTAGGGTTAAGGGTGGGGATGGGGTGGAACCAATAAGAAATCGCGCGTTTTAAGAGTAAATTTGAAATGCTTTTTATCTCCTAATTGTGTTTAAGATACTGAATTAAATTAAGCAAACCCTCTATGCAGCTCTGATTCCCCCCCCCCACTTCTCCCCCTCCCTAGGCTTTAATGTTGAAATATCAAACGAAATCATAAAAGTGCCCGAGGTCCTTATTCCACTGATTGCTAATCTCAGTAAAAGCATAACAATTACAATTTCGTTAAGTTTTTATGTGGTGAATTCAGTTGAAACGAAAATTAAGTATCTAATAGTAAAAGAGTGAATTAGTTTTGATATGTTTTAATACGTGAGCTAAGGCAGTGAATATTAATTGCACATTTCGGTTTCAAATAATGGTGGCCGTAAGAAAGTGCTTTTGCCTGTTTTATCTGTTATCGTGGTTTGCTCATACACCTTTTTATCTTCTGCGCTTAGTTGTGTACTCGACTTGTCTCCTCGTTCTTCAAGCCGTTTATTGATTTACTTTGGCACTTGGGTTCCACTGCACTACCGAATTTCACTTTTAGCTAACTGATTACTGTTACCCTCATTTCTGACCTCTTCTAAAACATTTCATGCTCAATTCCACATTATTCATGCGATAACTGTGCTTGTGAAGTTGGAGAGTTCGGTTAATTTGCCGTTATCTCTAATCGAATAGTTCGCTCGCAATGCTATTGGTTGTCTTCTGTTGTTTTTCGCTATTGTATGGCATGCCATTCCCTAACATTTAGTCCAATCTGTAGTTCAAACGCAGATAAACGTAGATAGAGTGTACCATGCTTTCAGAAGAGAAGTAAATAATGCTTTTAGATGAAGACATATTTTGTGGCATTAGCGGAGAATAACGAAAGGCACTGGGAAAATATCTTCACGATTCAAGCGAATTGTGTAACAAAAGAAGCAAATTGGAGGGTGGAATAGTAATGCGCAGTAAATTTCAATTGAAGCTACTGCTCAACAAGTTCTGAACTTTGCTAAGACGTCTGAAGAGCCATTCCATAGACCTGGAACTTGAGAATATTAGGTCATGGTGTAAAATATGCAAAACTGGACAACCTCATCCACGGGAAAATCAAATAAACCACTAATCTCTTGATGCCCCAAACTTTACACTCTCCTTCCATTCGACTCCTCTTCAAGTTCACTCCGCACTTTGACGACTTTCGATGATTGATAACAACTATTCTAAGTCGCCTTTTTATGAGTAAATATAAGAGCCCAATATCTGTGGCCAAAGTAAAGTTACTTATTGAGGAGGCTTAAATTTCTAAATCACTGGATTTGATCATTATAGTTAGAGGGATTCAAATTGAAATGACATTAACTTTCGATTGCACATTTAAGTAAAAGTCAGGCAGTTAAATTTTACCAATGGAGATTAAGACTACTAGATGATCGAATCAGTATTTTATTTTGCATATAAGCATATTTAGGCGGTAAATGCGCTTATTAATAATAAATTAGGAACAGTTAAAGAAGTTTTAGTAGCCAAGGACTTGGGTAGGAGGAAGGTATTCCGTTTATGTTCTTTTGAAGAACTGCAGTTGGACTTCTACATTAGCAAGTGTGTGTCATAATGAATAGCGATCCTAAAATATGCGAATTCACGAACATGCCATTCACCAGCTGTGCAACTAGCGCGAGTTGCGCATTTGTCGTTTTCCCAAAATTAGCTTGAACATTTTGGGATATGGGTTTGCTTACAATTGCAATGTGTAATTACCCTTCAGATATACCCATCAGTGAAGACGGTTCGTGAAAGTCTTGAAGGCTATGGGGCAGGTGAATGTCTTCCCTATTGCTCTAATATAGCCACACGTCAACCCTGGTTGCGTTACTTTCTTCATGACTGGGTTGGATGCAATCCTGGCGTTTCAAGAGCCATTCCACACATCAAAAGCTACTGTCGGTGTTCGCCTGATGGTAAAAGCGTGGCTTGGTTCCTTCTTTCAAGGTACGTAATCTTTATTCTAGTAGCCCCGTTGTGAAATCAATATACTGCGTCTAAAATGGAATAATGGGGCTCCCGAAGTCTCATTATAATTTAAAAACCTGATATGAGGAAGGCTTTATCAATGCGCGTAATTTTTGTTTTTCTGCTGCAAACTGGCTACTAATATCGCAAGAAGAGTTTAAATTTTGAATCAAATCAATGCTCTTTTATTGGAAAAGCTAGCTGATTAAGTGCATGAAGCGAATTACTGCTAGACTAATTAGTAACTTCGTCATTCACCGCTGCAGCATTTGCAATTATTCGGTTCTGGTTGGAAAGCCTGGTTCACGGAGCATGAGACATTGCGAAGCTAATATACTGAAGTATACTCGATGCTCCTTCCTGTTCTGGGAGAGATTATATTGGGAAGATGGCCACTTCCTCTTCCCTTTCTATTCCTTAATGCTCATTGGTATATCGATCGTTCTTCAAAAGTTCTACAGATCTCCATGAATGAAAGCTGATCACTAAAATGCCTATTTTTACAAAGACAGTTCACATTGACAGTCTGAATGACAGTACAATGCCTGTTGTACTTTTGAATTCCACTTTCCGAAGGGGTAGGAATGCTTAAAGGGATAACAATGTGAATAAAGTTAGTGACATTTTACATAACTGATATGAAAAACTACTTAATATCGATTAACTAATTTTGGTAATATGGCTAATAAAAGGCATCTTAAAGTGCCATTTTTCGAATGGCATTCACAGAGTTGTTAAGTTTTACCTCTCACTGGTTGTTATTATAGTTTGCAAGTAATAAATAATATTGCATTATTAATTTCGGCGCTCCGTAGGTAGAACAAGATTATTGATTGCCAAAAGATGTCAATTATGAAATTCAAGTAGTCGAATTGCATGGAAATCACGTGTAAACAAAAATAATAATTAAGAGCTGAAATGATTTTAGAACTCTGAAAAACGCGAAAGATTACTATAGTGGGGGGTGATAAGAAATCGCGCATTTTAGGAGCAAATTTAACGTGCTATTTCTCGTAAATTTTTCCTATTAGACTGAATAAGGTAAGTTGCTTCTTCATTAGCAACTCTTTCCTGTTGGTTTTGCGGTTTTTGGATCCAATTTTGAGATGAATTTGTTCTGTTTTTTTTGGAATAAAAAACCCGTTCGCGTTTCACAGCAATTCACGACGTTTGGACCCCCCCCCCCCCCCCCGCCCTTTTAAACAATCCCTCACATTTCATATTTTGATTCCCTCGTTCATGAATGTGCTTGAGTCTGCTCACTTCAAGCTTTACCGAACTGATGCTATTTCCACTTTCCTGGTTGTGCGCTCGTTGGCATTATAAGAAGACCCACTAACTTGTTTTCTAATATCCTTGAAACAATGTTCATTCATGAAACTATGAAAGTTTGTATTCCTTTTTAGCGCTAATCTATCAAAGGCAGCTTGGGGCTGTTACCAAGTAAATAAAAGCCAATTAATGATACGGTCTTACGAACTCGGTGTTCTCTTTACTCCGGAAACCAATGAAAATACGGTTGGTCAGCGTTTCTAACTCCTCATTATCGTTCCTCTGATTTTTGCGAAAAAAAGCGTTTGAATAGTTTTTTTTGTCGGAGGATTAGTAATATATTAGTAAGCCATTGATTTGAATTTAGGTTCGAGTGTCATCAAGTGTGTGTGTGTGTATGTGTGTTTGGCTGTCTATGCCGATATTAAGCGAATAGTATAAGATTTTCTAAGTCTTAATTTTGGGTACAACTAAATTTCGCTTAATTCCACTGTTAGGAGTAAATGAGTAGTTGATTAAATGTACTACTTTTGGAGTCATTTTTAAACCTATCCGAACCAGTTTAAACAGCTCATTCTTTTTAGCTCCATAAGTCAATGACTCTCAACGATTTTCCGGTTCCTTACAAACTTCCACCAGTACCTTATGGCGAGGAAGGTGAGTTGATTTTACTCCCTATCATTGTTTGCGTTGTCAATGGGCTGAGAGTATGAAATTTATTATTGGGCAGGGTTCATTAAAATGTGATTTTAGCGTTCCCAGCCAATGAATTTGTAGGAAGTGAAGTTTTATGATTTTGGCCATGAGATCAGGGCTATTACTACCTTTTGTCATTAAATTATTATAGGTTTAAGAGTGTGTCATCTGGTGTAAAAGTAGACCAGACGCCTATTTTGATGAGCGAAGTCTGTACTCTTAGGGCCACTCCCATCATAAGACCTTTTAAAATTATTTGACAGCCAAAGACCATTTATTTACAGAATTAGCTACGTTGAAACGATTAGATATTAGTATCATTTCATTATTTAGAGTATCAAAACTTTTAGCTGAACAAAACCCAGATTATTCCTAATTACATTACTCAAATCATTGAATAAGTGATAAGTTGTATAACTCGTATGCATATTATAGTATCTGTCCTAATTGACATGATTTTTTGAGATCTAAAAGACGGACTTCTGTCTGAATTGAAATCCAAAAAATGCCTTATTATTATGGTGCTAAATAATCATATGAAATGGAAATTTAACTAAACGAAATAGCGTAGATCTTGAGTTCATTTACTTGTCCTTGCAAGTGACTGACACTCACCTTGATCTTTGAAATCATGTTCCTTCTACAAACACACCTTCTTTTACTATAACGCTAGTAAGGAAAATAAGTCTTGTAGAATGTGGAAAAGTGTTATTGGTGCTTGTTTCACCTAGTCATCTTCAAAATCATGCTCAAAACAAAAGAAATCCTCTCAAGTTACTCAAGCCTAAAAATAGTGAAGGATGAAATTGAACATTTTTAAAAATTTGGCTTTGATCACATTCCCCATGATAGTACCCTGTTTCTTTCGTTTACGAAACCCCGTAATGCCATCATGGTTTCATGACTCAACTCTCTATCTGTCAAGTCTAAACAAGATTACCGATTCTCCATTTCCTCCTAGACTTCTTCCGTTTCATTTACTTGTCAACTTGTACTTATACCTCTTGCCCTTTCTCAACTGTCTCATGGAATTTCTTTTTATGTAAACTCATACACAGATGCTTGCTGTTTATCTCTCCATCTCACTCTCTCCTTTTCCTACTCTAGGCGTTTTTCCCCACAAAATATTGACTTTCGAAACTCTTTGTTCTGCATTTCAGTAGGATTATTTGTCTCTCGTGTTAGTTTTAGCTCCTGCAATTTGGTAAATTTTAAACTAATGACCTTCTATTCTGCCACAAACTCTCGCCGATTTGGACTGTTAATGGAACAACTAAAACTTCTCCTCACGAAGTCTTGTTTTGAAATCTTTATTAGTTCTTTTTAAAATAGTTTTTTTTGTTGATACAACTCTTGAATACACTTAACTAAATAAATCGTCAGCTGTGTTAATTTCTGAATTCTTTGCCATCTGATCACCTCAACAAGAAAGTTTAGAATTTTGCTAAGAGATTGACTTTAATTAGATGCTTCCTTTATCAAACTTGGTCTATATCTATGTGTAACGCGTAGAAAGTGCTATTTTAGATTTGAATTGCATTTAAGATAAATTTAGTCTTTTATTGTAGACATATCTCTGAATAGTTGAATGAAAGAATCCTATTACTTCTTAAATAACTTGCTTTTAAAAGTTTTCTCTGCTTATCTCTTAGAAATAATTATATTTTCAAATGTATATTATCGATGCGTCATGTTCCTCGACGCGTTATCCTTCAGTTTCACACTATTACGATTTGGTTTTTCAAACAAGCAGTCATTTCTTTACAGCTGTATCTCACATCACAGATTTAAAATTGTCTGTACCTAATCATTTATCGATATAAGTGGCCCTAGTGGAAATCTTGGTTCCGACGGCTTGTTCAGACTTTCGAGATGTTGGAATCAGGAGGCCAACTTTCCGTTTAATCACTCAGGGTGAATTTTCAGAAAACCCTTGTATACTTCCACATATTTCGTAGTTAGTACTTCAGAACCTCATATTTGGGTGACAGGCACGATACTTCTGTTTTCACTTTTGTCGGATATCAGCCCTGAATCGGAGTAGAGGATTCAGCTAAAGAGCTCTTCATTTTTCCCATTATAGATGAACCCTGGATTTATGATAATTGTTATGAGGAACCTGATTCCCATGGTAATACACGGAGCTTCGGGTAACTTTCTGCCGTTTCTTTGACGAAATTAATAAATTCAAAACTTTTCAACATCTATATTTTCATGATTTTGTTTTATTGGGTATTTTTGAAATGCTTGAGCTATAGCAAGATTTGCTACGGGGAAATTGTTGATAGGATCAACTAAGTACTGATGGGTTGCATAATAAATAAAATAATAGATATAGCATGTCCATCTACTCACCTTAATCAACTCTGTGAACGTGAACTTATTAGATTTAATTTTGATGTCCCTGGAGGGTGTGACAATTAGATTCCTTGAAGCTGCAGACTTCCATTGAGCTGTCAACCTTCTCAAACCCTGGGATCACCGATAGATAACGAAATGACGAGAAGAGTAAGACAGTGGCGAACATGGCTCATTGAGGGAAGGGTCGGAGATTGAGAGCTGAAGGGGGGGGGGGTGGTTGCAGCGGAGCATGTAGCCGTTTTCAGGGGATTATTTATAGTCCAACAGGAATGGGCAAAATAAACATATGAGACGGATCCACTGATCGGGGGTGCACTGAGTTCTAACAACGCTTACTCAAACACCACAAATGGTTTAATGCGGCTAATTAAAAGAAATCACTTGTGGACGCATAGTGTTTTCCCAAGAAAACAACTTGTGATCACAGCAGGGGTTAGGCGCTTCAAGAACTCCTGTGGACTTAGTTATAGTATAAGCCGAATAAAATGTTAAAATTTGCAAAAACTTTAGGACACTTAGTCACTGCACTGGACTCTAAAGTTTGGAACATTTGCAATCACACAGGTTAGGTTTCTCTTGATTTTCCAAATTTAACTCCTATCTTCAATTGATCCCCTCTTACAGTGTTTGATGAATTCTTTCTACACATACACATGCTTAGATGTCTTTACATAACCCAAATTGGTAAAGACTTATTTTATTCGATGCAAAAATTTACTACAAACATTAAGTTGTTAATCATGTTGCCCCTCAACCACTCCCATGTGAGCATAATATTTCAAACAAGCCCTCTTAAAATAATCACTTTCGAGGCAGACTGTCTTCTGAATAGTTCGTATTACTCAATTTTTCCAAACACCAAATGGTGATGATTTTTTCAGTGAAATGGGGGAAATATTTGGTTATTATGGTGGAAGTGCACACTCAGTCAAAATTACATACTACACAGATTACAAGAGGGATAAAGGTTAACTATATGTCAACGTTGGGCCAAATGGAGTTTCACTGGCGTCTGTCTGTCTCACTAATTTTAGCATAAAGTGCTGCAGTTTTTCATGTTAGGTGTTTGAAGATATTCCAGTCGGTTTAATTAGCCTCAGATTTTGTTTAGATTTTTGACACCTATTTAAAAATATTTATTTATATCAAATGGCAAGCTTTATGATAGTTATCATTAAACCTTCAGTTGACTTCGGGCTTTACAGAGGGGAGGAACATCAAAGTCACAAAAAGGTAGAGGGAGGATGAGCAAAAGAGTGATTCACAGTCGTAAAAGAGACAGACAGATACAAAGGTTGAGAATAAAGGTAAGGTATGGTGAGTACTGTGGAAGTGCTCGAATATGACATATACTAGGGTCATGGTAGCTTGAAGTCAGAAGTCAACCGTCAGTTAATAGAATTTTTGCTATTTAAGTATGCGTTGCCCAGGGTGCACCATGAAGAGGTAAGTCTAACGCATACCCCGCACTGCACAACACAATTGTGTGTTTACTCATTGATTTCTTATCCCACTTTGCCTGTTTCCATTCCTCATTATCACTTGGGTTAAAGTTCGCATTATTTCCCATACGCACTATATTTAACTCATTACCTTGACTTAGTCAACACTATTGAGCATGCTTAAAACTTAAAAACATGTGAATGAAGTTGCCCTATCGAATCTTCAGTCTTGAATGAGTGGATAATAATGCCGAAGCTTAACGAATGTGAAAAGAGTATTAACGGATAAAGGTGATTTATAAAGCTTTATCATTTTCTTTTAATTACAACTTTCAACGTATCCCATCTTTATGGATTTGTTATTCAAGCCCCACTTATTTTTACCCACTACATATTTATATCAAAAAAAATCGTTCTGATCATTTGCTTCTACAAATAGTTATTTATATCAAATTGCAAGCTTTATGATAGTTATCATTAAACCTTCAGTTGACTTCGGGCTTTACAGAGGGGAGGAACATCAAAGTCACAAAAAGGTAGAGGGAGGATGAGCAAAAGAGTGATTCACAGTCGTAAAAGAGACAGACAGATACAAAGGTTGAGAATAAAGGTAAGATGAGTACTGTGAAAGTGAATTTGGTGGAACATAACGTACAGTGGGGTCATGCTAGTTTGTAGTCAGAAGTCAACTGCCGGTTTATAGACTTTTTTGCTATATGAGTATACGCTAGACAGGGTGACAGTTAATGATAAATACTGAATAAA